TAGTGAGTGCATACATTATTTTATATACTGGCCCCCCGTGGGAATTGAACCCACAACCCTGGCATTGCAAACGCCATGCTGTACCAACTGAGCTACATCCCTGCCGGCCATTCCCTCCCCTACTCTGGACGACGCAGGGCCAATTATGCGCCGCCCCATGGGTCTCCAGGTCACAGCCGGCTACGACAGAGCCTGGATTCAAACCAGGATCTCTAGTGGCACAGCTAGCACTGCGATGCAGTGCCTTAGACCACTGCGCCACTCGCCACAACCATGATTTTGTTTTTCAGCCAAATTTCATCACAAATCATAACAGGAAACATTGAGCAGCATTAAATATTGCAGGTTGTAGCCTACCTTTATTCCAAGCAACTGATCAACTCAGCCCACCCAGCTGCAGCTGTTGGATTGCTCCTGAAACTCTGGTATCTCTGTGAATCCATTAAAGATTTGAAGGCTCTTCTTTGCCATCTTGTGGTCACTTAATGCATTGAAAGGGCTTCCTGACACTGCCTGTTTTTGACTTTTTTGTAGTCTATTGTATTGTAGCCTACTTTTCTTTAGATGGTAGGCCTATCTAGGCCCATTCCGCACAATAGCCTAAAATGAATAGGTTGAGATTGATGTAGCCTAGCCTGTTGGTTATTCTCTAGGGCTAAATTGGATCCATGTTGTCAACTGAATATCAAATAAGGTTCCGACTTTGATTTGGCCTACCTCAGCAAAACCAATTTGTGCCTATAGGGGTGTAGCCTATTCGCAATTGCAGCCCATTTGATATCTGAGATCTGTGAAACGATAAGTCTATGTGCCAAACTAATCAAACTATTTGTATAGACAATTATTAATATCAGGGTTCTTTTAACTGTACCTTAAATAAGAGGCATTTCGGCTGTCGTAAATCAAACACAGATCCCCTTGAAACTTAAGTTGAGCAACCATCCTTTTCTCAAAAGGGGACTAAGCCTACGTCTGTTATTAAGACATGATCATTCCAAAATGCCAAGCGCACAGATACCTTGAGGTTTTCAGTTGCATTTGAGTTAAGGACAATAATGTCTTGGTCGTGTTCCTCTGCTCAGACATTGCTAACACATGCCAGATCTTACAATGCCTGGATAGGTATTTTACATATTAGCTAACCACATCATATGTTATAGCAATCTGGTGCCTGAAGGTACAGACGATGACGTGGCATGCAACCTTCGGTTGATGCATGCAATGTCTGAGCAGGGGAACACAACCATTGTTTGCAGGTTGATCCAACGTGCGGGGATGCACTACGGGCACCTGACCTTCAAATCCTACGATTGTCTGCTTGCGGTAATCAATGTCGCACAGTCCCAGCTGTGCCTCTGGCAAGGCGGTCTCTCGCTCCGATGGTAGGATAAACTGTGGGCTAATCTTAGGCCTACATCAAGCTACAACCAAGATGAGACGAGAAGAATTGAAAACAGTTGATGGGTTTATGTGTAAACTATTTTTCTTCGGGAGTCAAGAGGATAAGTAGGTCTATGCCGTCAGACAAATCCAGAAATACTGTATGTAGGCCAGGTTAGGTAGGTAACCGACAGTCAAAAAATATTTTTAAAATCTATTGAGTTCAAGACAGTAGGAAGAGAAAGTCACTCAAAACTGTAAATCTAATTAAATTATCCTGTTAAGGCGCAATCTGTAATTTCAACTGCATGTTAATTGACACTTTGAGATTGACATGATAGTAAAACATATTCTTTGGAGCTATAGCCTATGCCTACATGTCTTGTTAACAAAGTCTCAAATGACAATGAAAACAAGGAGGAGCTGCACTCAAAAAGCATTTATCCTTTATATTCTTCAAGAATTGAATGGGTACATTAACCTTATTACTTGTGCCATGCAGCTAAGACCAATCTGCTCTGGCACTGCTTTAGTGTTTTAAATGGGACTGTGTTGTCTTGCTCACTGGGTTGTCTTGCTCAACTTGAACAAACTTAATCCTCAAACAACATATCCCTCAAACACCCTGTGAGGCATTTGTAACAAGTCCAATGGTCAAAACAACCACCAAGCTTCTAAAACAGCCTCTTTTGTCAACTGTTATGTCATGGTATGCTCCAGACAGAGAATACAGTGAGCCCCCCTCTTGGTCATAATGGAAAATGTTACTGACTGTGCCGCCTGTGAGGTACTTGAGGTGCCACCAACCAAGGCATGAAAGCCAGTGCGGCATATCCATACAAACCCTCTCTGTATAAACAGCATCATGTCGCTCTGCCTGCTCTCTGAATGCCTCCGTTCACAAGGCTTTGTTTCATCGACATTGAATTGCCGGAGCTGACACGGTGAAACAATTAGCACTGTTAAGTAGTCCAAACAGATTCCGATCTTAATCCCCAAAACTGACTTTATGAGGGCCTAATCCTGTTGATGGCAACAGAATCCCACCCACGTCAAAACAGCCCACTGCTCTTGCCCCAGGTGCAGTAGTCACACACAGGCCCTGGCTTGTCTCTCTTTATGAAACCAGATGCATTGATAGGGCTTTCTTGGGCACACGGCCCAGCCTGCAGTTTGTTAATTAGGTGGGCTGTTTTCCCATAATTAGCCTTAGTGATGAAAATCAGGATGCATAATAGCTGTGGTGGTCGTGGATAGTAATAGAGTTTGTGAATGTGGAGTGTAGATGCAAATCCTGAATGTTTTTTAGATGCAAGTTCTGAATGCTTAACAACAGTCTCTCCTCCAAGACTGGAATCCAACTGGTGTGAGCCAACCCTGTGGATGAAAGCGTTTCCAAACGTAAGCTACTCTGCTGACAATATGGTGAAAAATTTGAAAGCGCCTTGCGTAAATTGCTTTATGTATCTAAACTCTTTATAAAGTCACTATCCTTGTCTTTACATTCCATTGCAATCAAGACAAATCAGCAGTCTGTTACACCCAGGTTAAGCGTTGATAATGAGGTCATAAATTATATGCTATCTTGATATCTGTGAGAGTCAATGACATTTTGACAGCAGGGATGGCCCCATAATCCCATTGTCCTCATTAAGTCATCCTGATAGCTGTAAACAAAGGCTTAAACCCACCTCAGATTAAGCCTGGGGCATCCAAATGAAAGACCTCACAGTTTAAACAGAATGTATGTGCAAAAGTTAAGTTAAAGTCACGTAAAATAACAGAATAAGAACTATAGATTGTTGTGAAGATATAGGATGGTCGATATCATCAGGATCACTTCTTTTGACTTGTTCAGCTGTTGCTCGCACTCAAACCATAAAAAGGAAAAGCTCAAGAGGACAAAATACAAAAGAAAAACATCCTAATCTACCGCCATGCTTGAAAGAATACAAAAAATGACAGGGCAAAGTTTTTATTTAGCACTTTATTGCACTTTGCACGCACAGTCACTTTTTGTATCCAGATGAAATAATTGTAAAATGATTCTGTATCTCCCACATGGAGGCAGGGCCGGCTCCAGGCATAAGCGACATAAAGGGTTGCTTATGGCCCCCAACCGCCGCCCAATGGCAAAATATATAGAACTGCAGAAAACTTGCTCTAAAACTGCAACATTTTCTCTATGCCCCATGGCGAAATGTGTAGAATTGCAGAAAATTAACTTTAAAAAGTACCTTTTTCTCTCCGCTGTCAAGAGGGGGGCCACCAAATCTCGCTTAGGGCCCCCAAAAGGCTAGAGCTGGCCCTGCATGGAGGGATCAGATAGATTCTGGATGCAACATGGCCTGTGTCAGATGACTCTCACGTGAACTGGCTTCAATTTTTTTCCATGGCCGCTCCGACACTCCAACCTCTTCTAGCATTCACTCTGACTGTCCACGGTGTCCAGTGTGTCTAAGGGGAAGATTCAGATCCTCTGTGGCCCAGTCACACCATACCAGCGATGTATCAGCTGACTGACTGCCACAGATGACCCTCTTCCGTGGGAGTGTGGCCATTGTCAGGAGCATTAGCTGCCTCGCAAGTCTTTACTGCAGGAACACCGGGTACAGTTCTGTATTGCCCTGGCTGTTCCATACAGCCAATGTTAGAATGAATTTGTCTAATTCACTACTACAAGGAAGGAAGGAACCTCAAAAACATAAACTTATATGAAAGACCACTTGCTGTCTAACTGGTATAAAGAAGATGTGACAAAGTGGGTCAACTACAGTAATATCACGTAGACATTCAAGATCTTGTGATCACTGTGAGTGTGGCGTCTATTTAAGGTGCTGAAACGTTATACCTCTATTGGGAATGATGGCGAGCGCCAGACTGGAGCATTGCGTGTATTACGTGATAAGAGGCACCGAAGCACCGCTCTATTTATAACGAATCATAGGGCCTGACGCATTGCACTCTCACGACATACGGACGGCCGTCAGAGGACACATAGAAAAACACCATGCCACTGCTGGGACTCCGGAGCACAACACTCTATATAGGACAGTGGCACAGCAGCAGGAGGCTTAACAGGTAGGACCCTATGGCTGCACACATGGACAATACACCTTCTGATACAGATGTGTGGGGAAGTCCTTTAACAGTTAAGGTAATTTCATGAGGAGTAATATTAGAGTTAGTGAATCTGTGACATACATGAATTTCATGCCAACTATCTTTTTATTTTGGTTAATGATTACGTTTCAGCACCGAGACAGGGGTAATTGCACATAAGGTGGGGGCTCACAGGACACACAAAGCATATCATCATGTATTAGACAGGTCTTAGTTGCTCTCCTCAAACAAGTTTTCGCAATGCACAAACGTAGCCAATACTTGGTTGAAACACCATGTAGCCTAAACTGATGGCAAACAAAGATTTTCAAGAGTTGACATTATCTGTCATTTGTTGCAGTTGAACTGTTAAGAATCCCACTTTTTTGTCAAACTAGTTTGAGACACAAGTATCTTTATCTTCTCAGGCGTCGCACGGTGTTTGCAGTGACATTTAAAGCCCTGTGTTGATTTATTTCACAGGTAGTGGTGAAACTGTTTTGTAACCCTTCCTCACAATGGATGACTATGAACACAGTGTGCACGTCTCCGAGCGTGACTGGGACTCCTTCTTTCAGGAGTGCGAGGAGTGTGACCTCTTCCCCCCCGCGCTGGCTGGATTGGACTCTAGCATTAGTGACTCCAGCATGAGTGACATTGATGATGCGGGAGGGTCCACTTTCTTAGACAGGCGTCTGCTAGCTGACCTCAAGTCAGATGCTTGGGAGGCTGTCTTCCCCATGGACGGCCCCCCGGATTGCGAGGGTTCTCCCGTGGAGCATTACCTCAGCAAGTACGGTGTCGGTAGCTTGGAAAATGTCCTCTCGTGCAGCGAGGATGAGGATCTGCACCTGGAGTCTGTCAATAGGTTCTTTGAGAGGCTTAAAAGTCTCCCGGAGGCTGAACAGCTTATTGAGCACAGCCAAGCAACAGTGGGAAAAAGCAGCAAGGTGGCGCAGGGAGAGGTGTGTGGTGATGGGCCACGAGCCAACGACGGCGCTTTGCCAATAAACAACCCAGAGTTAAATTCCCTGTCTGCCAGCAGTAAGGCAGCAACTGGCATGGAAACCACAGAGCCAGACAATGCCAACACAACAGATAGGTCTGACTCCAAGATGGCCCCTGAGCTCCCAGTCAATGATGCCTCTGAGGGCAAGACAGACAAATCCACCAATCCCAATGTGGAGTTGGCCATCAGAGAGGAGGATTGGTTGTTGGTGCCAGCAAATGAAGCAGGAAGGCAGAAAAGAGAGGGTCAATCCCGTGACTTATTCAAAGAGATATTGGAAATGACAGCCGACTCATTAAATACACCTGCCTCTGGGAAAGTGCTGAACTCAGAGTTAGCTGTATGCAAAAGTGTGGGTGACGAGAGTCATGGAGATATCATGTTAGATAAACCACTTCTTAAGAAAAGCTCTGATTCATGCCTTAACCCTGATAGGGATTCATCTACAAACCTTGAAGTGATGCCATATGATAAATCAACAGAAGGCAAATATCTTGCTGTCACACCACCAAAGAAAGACCCAGAACAGCAGAGTGTAAGAAGCCCAGATCAGTCTCCATCATTCACCATTAAAAAGAAGAGAAGGAGAAAAAAAACTGTCAGTATTGAGCCCATGGAGGCAGGCCACGGGTACAAGAGGCAGTTTTTTGCCAATAATAGTGACTCCGGCAAGGAGAGATGTGTACGGGGAATAGAAATGGATGCTCATGTAAGACTATCAAGAGATTACACTGCAGTTTACGTGAATGAGGCCGGCTGTGAGCATATCAAATCCTCAGCTCACCAAACGCACAGTTCTCAGTGTCCACCCACACACTCAGAAATACTCCAAGGGAGAGCCAGAAACAATGTGCCACCTGGGCCAACTGCAGTGGAGCATGACGAAATGAGCCTCAATTTACCAACTCCCCCTCTAAGAGATCGTCAAAGTCAAACGCTAACTGAGAAGAATGAGTTGAGGCTAGTAAAATCTGAGCCTCTTGGTACGGAGGCTAAGTGCAAACAAGCCAAATCTAGCTTGCCTATAAACAGTGAAGGCACTGATCGATCAAGATCCGCACCATGTCGAGCTGTTGACAGCGGTTTGTCAACACCTAATTATGATGGTAATGTCGCAGCAAATTTACAGCCAAGCAGCGCATTACAATTACAGCCATCAACGGAATTTAAAGAATGTCCAGTCTCGATGTCCACCTGTGCTTCTAGTGAGTCGCCTCCAGTCACAGAGGAAGGAAAGTTTGGCTCAGACAACATCGCAAAATATCGAAGAGAGTCTGGGCCTCTGCAACTGCAAGAAGTGAATGGAAAGACTCAAAACAGGGACACCTCATCTGAGGATCTCAATACACCAGAATCAACAGAACATAACACTGCCCTCAGAAATAACACCTCATTCACCTCTAAAGTCAGCAGTGGTGTTATTATTTCAAGCACATTGCAGCTGCCTGCTCATGAAAACATAGTCCTCAAGATGCACCAAGAATTAAAAAATGGACTCATCCCAACTCTTGATAAGACTATGGCATCAGAAGTGGTCAGCACTAACACAACACTAAAACCTACCAAGACACCATTACCTGGCAAAATCAATAGTTTCAATGAGCCCTGCTGTTCAAAATCAGACGATGTAATCAGTCAAACAACATATGGAAACCAGACAGTTAAGTCAACTATTATTCTGGATGCAACTACCGAGAGGCCAGTATTAGCGATGCCTCTTTTTACTGTCTCTTGTTACTCTGTTATTCCAAAGAGTGCTATGAACTCTAATCAGGCAGATGAAATAAATGATACTCACATAAGTAATAATGTCACTGAAAAAGACCCTGATTCATCTGCTCCAGAGAATGTTCCATTAACTCAATCAAATATTTCACTGAATGGACTTTCTAATTCCCCTGATTTACAAATGGAAGGCAGCCAAATTGTTGGGTTTCAGTCTAACAAAACATCTATGGTAGCACTGCCAGATAAACGTAACACTGTTATAGACTTGCCAGTAACGTTATTTGAAAGCTCTGATGCACCTGATATTCAAACCAGATTCAATGGTCAAGAAGCGAAACTTTCCATTGGCAAAGCAACAAGTGAGAGGGAGAGGGAAATGTCTGAACATGATAGCCAGGATATGTCACAAGATACACCAGAACTCAAAGTTGATATAGAGGTCAAAACAGAGGACACTGTTACCACAGCCAAAACAGCAGAGTGTGACGGGATTAAAAAAGCACCTGACGAAACACGTCCTGTGTACGCCATCTCCGCTTTTTGGAATGAGATGGAGAAGCTGACCATTAATGACATCTTGCGACTGCGTATGGTCAGCAATGCCCAGCAGTCCAGTGTTCTCCCCCAGCCACCAGAGAGTGAGGCAGCCGACACCTCCGATGCCGCAGACTCAGGTTACTTCACTCACCTGGAAGACTACAAACCTCACCGCTCCAGTGGCGACATGTCCACCATTTCTGATTTTGACAAAGAATTCTCACAACATCAAAATGCTGATAATCCAAGCACTGATCCAATCATGAGTGATGAGTCACCCAACTCTATTGGTATCTTGTGGGAAAGCGAGCCAGACTCAGTTAGCGTTGGGGCTGGTATATACCCTGAAAATGTAGCAATGCCAAGTTCCGCAAGTGACATCCCCCTACCAATCTTTTCAGGCAGTGCCCGACAGTACTTAAGAAAAATTCGCAAAAATGTCAGCGTGCAGAACCTACTAGCTCTGGAAGTTGAACCCCTTTGCCAGGTGTTGAAAGGTCGGGCCTTACCTGCTGTCATATCAGAGGAAGGAGAACCAGAAATGGAGTCCTGCAATGATGGACATTTAGTGAGGCAACACAGTGGCATGGATTCTTTACCTCCAGCTTCTTTTTCGGAGGATGTGTCAACAGAAAGCAATCAGATTTCTTTCTCTGAGATCATCCAGTACATCTTTGGAGGAAATAAATCGGAGCCCAGTCCATCGGAAACAGACAACATGGCCGCCTACTATGTCAACAGTGATTCAGTCCCTGAGTATGAGCATTTCTACTCAGAGTTTGATGCAGGAAGCTTCTTCTACCCTGTCAGGGAGGCATCAGGCCACAACAAGGATGAGCAGGTGCCCATCTTTTCCTGCGGCCGTTCGGCCAACAAGAATCTTCAGTTCCCGGAGGCCTATGATAATTTCTTCTCCAGTGACTCGTCTGTAGACTCGGATGAGGATGATAACCAAGACCGCAGTCCGATCCGGGTGATCACGCGGTTTAACCATAAGCCAAGTGAGACCCAAGGTGTCATAGTGGCTCCGGACATATATGAGGACTTTTTCACAGACGAGGGACTGAGTGAGAACCTCTTCTGGAAAAACTATTTCTCCCTGCGGAAGGTCAGCTTCACTGGCTCCACCAGCCAAAGTCAGAGATCTCACTCCTGGTCGCTGGTTTCTGTGGATGAGATCAAGAGTTCATTCCGCAGAACCATTAGACCCATCAACGCACTGGGCATCCAAGACAAGCCTTTTCCTGATCAATTGCTGTACAACCTAGAGGGCAGGATCTTCAGGCAGCTGGCCGAACAGAAGAGGAGATATCCGGATCTGCAGATGGTCGCTGCTAATCCCAGTAAGACCATTTTCTCTATTATGATCTCATACACATTATTATGCACATTCAGCACTTGGAGTCTTCAAGTATTTATTATTTTTTAAAGATCTAACCCAGCTGGGAAAACTGACATATTTCTTGACATCATGGCCAAGATGTATACTGGTTGTAAAATGATGTGTTTTTTTACAACCAGAAAATGTACTTACCATGTCAAATTTTGCAAGCTGGCAAGAGGTAGTGCAATCTAATAGTTGATGACAATCACGTTAGATGAAGACCTTAGTCATAATCCATTACTAACTATTGTAATCTTAGTGGGCTCCCTCAACCCAGCTGTCAATGAACACTGACTAGACGCACGTAGTAGTGCTAAGCCAAGTGCCAGAGGAATGGTTGGACGTGATAACTCTTCTTCACTCACTGTCTGTGTCCTCTCAAGCTGCCCAGTGCCAAGCATTATTCACATGTTTGCCATCAAATGGGAAGTATAAATAGTCCCACAATGGTAGCCAAAAGAGCACCATTCCATCCAGCAAGCAGCTCTAAGACGGAACAGTGACCTTGACCATACATATACACTACCAGTCAAAAGTTTGGCCACACCTACTCATTCAAGGGTTTTTCTTTATTTTTACTATTTTCTACATTGTAGAATAATAGTGAAGACATCAAAACAATGATATAACAAATATGGAATCATGTAGTAACCAAAAAAGTGTTAAACAAATCAAAATATATTTTATATTTTAGATTCTTCAAACTAGCCACCCTTTGCCTTGATGACAGCTTTGCACACTCTTGGCATTCTCTCAACCAGCTTCATGAGGTAGTCACATGGAATGCATTTCGATTAACAGGTGTGCCTTCTTAAAAATTAAATTTGTGGAATTTATTGATTTCTTAATGTGTTTGAGCCAATCAGTTGTGTTGTGACAAGGTAGGGGGGGTATACAGAAGATAGCCCTATTTGGTAAAAGACCAAGTCCATATTAGAACAGCTCAAATAAGCAACGAGAAACGACAGACCATCATTACTTTAAGACATGAAGGTCAGTCAATACGGAACATTTCAAGAACTTTTAAAGTTTCTTCAAGTGCAGTCTCAAAAACCATCAAGCGCCATGATGAAACTGGCTCTCATGAGGATTGCCACAGGAAAGGAAGACCCAGAGATACCTCTGCTGCAGAGGATAAGTTCATTAGAGTTACCAGCCTCATAAATTGCAGTCCAAATAAATGCTTCACAGAGTTCAAGTAACAGACACATCTCAACATCAACTGTTCAGAGGGGACTGTGTGAATCAGGCCTTCATGGTTGAATTGCTGCAAATAAACCACTACTAAAGGACACCAATAATAAGAAGAGACCTGCTTGGGCCAAGAAACACGAGCAATGGACATTAGACCGGTGGAAATATATCCTTTGGTCTGGAGTCCAAATTTGAGATTTTGGGTTCAAATCTGCGTGTCTCTGTGAGACGCGGTGTGGGTGCATGGATGATCTCTGCATGTGTAGTTCCCACCGTAAAGCATAGAGGAGGAGGTGTTATGGTGTGGGGGTGCTTTGCTGGTGACACTGTCTGTGATTTATTTAGAATTCAAGGCACACTTAACCAGCTTGGCTACCACAGTATTCTGCAGCGATACGCCATCCCATCTGGTTTGGGTTTAGTGGGACTATCATTTGATTTTTCAACAGGACAATGACCCAACACACCTCCAGGCTGTGTAAGGGCTATTTTACCAAGAAGGAGAGTGATGGAGTGCTGCGTCAGATGACCTGGCCTCCACAATCCCCCGACCTCAACCCAATTGAGATGGTTTGGGATGAGTCGGACGGGAGAGTGAAGGAAAAGCAGCCAACAAGTTCTCAGCATATGTTGGAACTACTTCAAGACCGTTGGAAAAGCATTCCAGGTGAAGCTGGTTGCGAGAATGCCAAGAGTGTATAAAGCTGTCATCAAGGCAAAGGGTGGCTATTTGAAGAATCTAAAATCTAAAATATATTTTGATTTGTTCAACACTTTTTTGGTTACTACATTTTACATTTACATTTTAGTCATTTAGCAGACGCTCTTATCCAGAGCGACTTACAGTTAGTGAATACATTATTTTTTTTTATACTGGCCCCCCGTGATTCCATATGTGTTACTTCATAGTTTTGATGTCTTCACTATTATTCTACGCTGCAAAAAATAGTAAAAATAAAGAAAAACCCTTGAATGACTAGGTGTGTCCAAACTATTGACTGGTTCTGTACATAGCACAATGTCTTTAACATGCTGATCAACAATTATTCACCCATACATTGGCCTTAAAGGGAAGTTAGCAAAACACATATCCCTTATAGGTGAACAAAAACACCTGGGTGCCACAGAGCTGTCCCAGTGTCACACTGTAGATTGTTTGGAATTAGTCCAGGTACCACTGTGGCTGGAACCTGATCAGGGGACAGTGTAAAAAAACTGGAAGTTTCCTGCCTAATGTAATGAGGCCTGGTCTGTCTGGAGCAGGTATGGGATTTTAGATCAATGATAATCACACTGATGTCACCCTGGACATATTCCCCGCGTGATCATGCATTATCACAGTAAGCCCATTTCCTCTGTGCTCCATGGGGACAATTGTACTCACAAGACAGCTGAACAATGCCACCTCCCCACTGATCTTATATTTTCATTTTGGAGCCAAAGAGCACACAAAGTACTCCAAAGTACTCTCAGACCAACAGTTTTACCTGTGTGTCATCTTTACTATTGCATAGGTCTTTTCCATCTATTCTGTTATACTTGTATGAGACAAATACCTTTTTCAATCTACTGAACCGAGCCAACTTGTACTGTGCTGGCCTCATTACGCATCCACCAAAGTTGCTGGAGCCGTGCTGGAGAGGACGGTGTAAAAAGAAAATATCCAAGCCAGCACAGTACGGTTGGCGTTGGCACAATAATATGAAAAGGGTAGTACAGTAGAGAATGTTCAATCTTGAAAGTGATACATTTTGTTTGACTATTTACACAGCAACATACTGTGTCCTTTGTAGGGTTAGATGCCTCCCTTGTACCTCTCAGACAGTCAGACATGTGTTTAGTCTGCATCGCATTCGCCTCCTGGGTGTTGAAGTCCGCTAACCCACAAGCTGGAGATGCCTGGAAGGCTGGTACGTACATGAGCAAATTCTATAGACCTGGGCCTGGTTTCCCAAAAGCATCTTAATGCTAAGTCCATCGTTAGAACCTTTGTATGAGCATTGTTAAATCTCCTAGCTGTCTAAAGTTGCACTTGAAAATGCTTGTTATTTAACGATTGCCTCAGACCACTCGTAGAACAGCTATGTGTGTCGTCAGTGACCTTGACCATACATATACTCTACCAGTCAAAAGTTTGGCCACACCTACTCATTCAAGGGTTTTTCTTTATTTTTTACTATTTTCTACATTGTAGAATAATACTGAAGACATCAAAACTATGAAATAACACATATAGAATCATGTAGTAACCAAAAAAGTGTTAAACAAATAAAAAATATATTTTATATTTGAGATTCTTCAAACTAGCCACCCTTTGCCTTGATGACAGCTTTGCACACGTTTTGCATTCTCTCAACCAGCTTCATGAGGTAGTCACCTGTGTGGGTTAGTGTTAGGGTTAGAATTAGGTTTAGGGTTAGGGTTAGGAGATGGGGTTAGGTTTAGGGTTAGGGGTTAGGGAAAATAGGATTTTGAATGGGAATGAATTTTGTGTCCCCACAGGGTTAGTTATAAAAGACTATGTGTGTGTGTGTGTGTGTGTGTGTGTGTGTGTGTGTGTGTGTGTGTGTGTGTGTGTGAGTGAATTTGAGAGAGATAGAGCGGTGGTGTGTGTGTGTGGGAATGTTGGACATGTTCACTCAATCAGAGTCACAGTTTTGACACTATGGTAGTCCTGGGGTACAGGCTTGGTGGGCCCATAATTTTCATTCCCAGCACTCCACCCAGACCTCATTAGGTTTGTTACAACTAACGCTGACCCTTGCAGCCATTAGCTAGCTTCAACTGTAACTACATGTTCAAAGTTTAGCATTGCTAACTTACATCAAATATATCTAGACAAACTGGTTTCAAACATGAAATACGTTTGGTTAATCTAACTACAAAGCAGGTGATACCATCACCAAAAACAATTGGGCCCAAAAAATTACTTTCTTACCCCAAAATCTGATTAAAAAAATAAATAAAAAATCAGCAAGGTTTATCACAGGGTCTTGCTTCTTCACATGAGGGTTGAGGACTAAACTGAGCATGTGCACAGTGAGTCACATTATTTTAGCTTGTACCTGATTGGAGATATTGAGAGTCTTACAACTATCCTGTTTTACAACCGTCCCAGTCTCCTCTAAACATCTTATCCCGTTTACTGTTGTTTTTGCTGTCTGTGCAGGCTCAGTTTTGCATATCATGGGTGTTGTGTGATGAAGTTTTCATCTGATTGTCAAACAAATCACTTAAAAAATGTGTCTACCTGCGCAGTTCGATCCACCATAATAATTTAGCCTACTACAATTCATTTTCTGCTTATAATTTCCGACATTTGGTAGGCAAATTGTTTGTCAACTATAGTTTGATACATGCAGCTTCTCTTCTGTCATAGCCTAACTTGTTTCCCCAGAAGACGAAATAAAGTAGTGCTCAACAGAATAATGTCTTACATGAATGCATTAATAATCTAGTTAACACCTGTAAAGTTGTCTGTTTCCTTTAGGGAAGAAAGGGGAGAAAACACAATAACCCCAAAACAGTGGAAAGATGGGTCCTGTCCAAATGTCATCAGTTTGACCGGTTTTAAGGAAATGAAAAGCTGAGAAAACAACGAAACACGTTTCTGATAAGACTTCAGTTCCTCTTGGGTGCATATTTTATGTGGTTGAAATACTGTCTGCTTGCATAACAGTGTCAAAGATAACACATTACTTGTACATTAGCATTTTCTCAAGAGATGCCACTCCTGTTCCTGAGACAAAATTAATATTTGGTGTATAATTTTACTGCACGAAATGCATAATTCTACAGGAGTTAATATTATATTATGCTACATGTGAGAGGTTATAGGCCTACAGTGTGTCCATATTTCAGTTACTAGCCCATATGAACTTAAATGAGGAATATTCAGTTTATTCATGGTACAGGGATACTCATGAGCGGGATATCAAAGGTGCTTATCCCGAATAAGACCTTAAGCAGGGATTTTACCTACTATACGGAATACTGTGCACATGCAAACATGGTCAGTGTTTCATAGGGAATCATGTTACAAAACAGGTCGAGGAGACACGAGATGCTCACAAATGGTTTTTGGAATATTGACAAGTTGCAGTTGGGCAGGGCATGCTCCAGGCATAAGCCTGCTAGGGGGCCCTGACCCAAAACATTTTTTTAAATAAAAAAACAAATACAAAAAAATGTAGGAACTCAGTCAAGGGTCTCAACTTATTGTTGGGAGTTAGAATAGTAGAATACACAAGGTGCAAGTTTGACATTTGGTTGTGCATCAGCAGTTTTTCTCATGTTTTGTCAGTCACTGTCACGTTGGTTGAAGGACGGGTCAGACCAAGGTGATAAGTGTACATGTTTATTGAACTGATAAACACACAACGAAAACAACAAAGGAAACGAAACGTGAAGTCCAAGGTAGCACACACACAACATACCTTACACGGAACAAGATCCCACAACTAGACAGACCAAATGTGGTCCTCTGTAGCTCAGCTGGTAGAGCACGGCGCTTGTAACGCTAAGGTAGTGGGTTCGATCCCCGGGACCACCCATACACAAAAATGTATGCACGCATGACTGTAAGTCGCTTTGGATAAAAGCGTCTGCTAAATGGCATATTATTTTTATTATTATATTATAATAGGCTGCCTAAGTGTGGTCCCCAATCAGAGACAACGAGCGACAGCTGCCTCTGATTGGGAACCACACCGGCCAATGTAGAACTAAACATACTAGACAAGCCACATAGAAAAAGCACAACAAGGAATATACACACCCTGACTCAACATATAAGCGTCCCCTGAGTCAGGGCGTGACAGTACCCCCCAAAGGTGCGGACTCTGACCGCACAACATAAACATAACAGGATAGGGGCCGGGTGGGCATTCCGCCTCGGAGGCGGATCCGGCTCAGGGCGTGACGACCTTTCACTCTCCGCCTCCCTGTTGCGCCCCTGGTCTGGTCTGGACCTCGGCGCGCTGCTTCCCCTCTCCTTCCTCCCACGATACGCCAGGCCCTGTCTGGACCCTGGTGTGGAAGACCCCGAACCTGGAGAGGGGCTGACGTCATGGTCTGGACTGGAGCCGCTGACCGGAGCTGGATGGGGCACCGGTGGAGCGGACTGCTCTGGCTCCGGAGTGGAGCCGCTGACCGGAGCTGGATCAGGCACCGGTGGAGCGGACTGCTCTGGCTCCGGAGTGGAGCCGCTGACCGGAGCTGGACTTGACCCCGGTGAAGCGGACTGCTCTGGCTCCGGAGTGGTGCAGCTGACCGGAACTGGAACGGGCACCGGTGGAGCGGACTGCTCTGGCTCCGGAGTGGAGCAGCTGACCGGAACTGGACTGGACCCGGCACCGGTGGACCGGGCACGGGCCGTGCCGGACAAATGCACCACTGGTCTGGTGCGAGGAGCAGGCACGGGCCGGACCTGACTAGGAACACGCACCACTGGCTTGGTGCGAGGGGCAGGAACGGGCCGGGCCAGACTGGCGACGCGCACCACTGGCTTGGCGCGAGGAGCAGGAACAGGCCGGGCCGGGCTGGCGACGCGCACCACTGGCTTGGCGCGAGGAGCAGGAACAGGCCGGGCCGGGCTGGCGACGCGCACCACTGGCTTGGTGCGAGGAGCAGGAACAGGCCGGGCCGGACTGGCGACGCGCACCACTGGCTTGGTGCGAGGAGCAGGAACAGGCCAGGCCAGGCCGGGCTGGCGACGCGCACCACTGGCTTGGTGCGAGGAGCAGGAACAGGCCGGGCCGGGCTGGCGACGCGCACCACTGGCTTGGTGCGAGGAGCAGGAACAGGCCAGGCCGGGCTGGCGACGCGCACCACTGGCTTGGTGCGAGGAGCAGGAACAGGCCGGGCCGGACTGTGGAGGTGGACTGGAGGTCTAGAGCGGAGAGCTGGCACAACCCGTCCTGGCTGGCTGCCCACTTTCGCACTACACATGCGGGGTGCTGGCACAGGATGCACTGGGCTGTGCACGCGCACTGGCAATACAGTTCGTAGAACTGGCGCAGGATATGCGGGACCAAGGAGGCGTACTGGAGACCAGGAGCGTTGAGCCGGCACACCCCGTCCTGGCTGGATGCCCATCTTCGCACGGCACGTGTGTGGTGCAAGCACAGGACGTACAGGACTGTGCCGGCGCACTGGCGACACAGTACGTAGCTCCGCATAACACGGAGCTTGCCCAGTCATACGCCTCTTCGCGTGAGTACGGGGAGTTGGCTCTGCTCTAACCCTAGGCTCCGCCAACCACCCCGTGTGCCCCCCCCAAAAAAAAAATTATTGGGGCTGCTTCTCGGGCTTCCTCCTCGACCGGCCTCCTCCGTGTTGCCGTTGCTCCTCTCCTGCCTGGGCATCTAACTTAGCCATGGTCCTTTCCCCGCAAATATCTCCTCCCATGACCACAAATTGGCCACCTGTGACATGGCCATCCGCTCCGCCTGGGCACTCTGCTTGGTCCTCGTTTGGTCGTTGAAGCGGAGACAACGTGATACACTGATAAACACATACACAACGACAACAACAAAGGAAACGAAACGTGAAGTCCAAGGTAGCACACACACAACCTACCTTACACACGGAACAAGATCCCACACTAGACAGTGCCAATAGGCTGCCTAAGTTGTGTTCCCCAATCGAGAGATCAACGAGCGACACTTGCCTCTGATTGGGAACCACACCGGCCAAACGTAGAACTAAACATACTAGACAAGCCACATAGAAAAAGCACAACAAGGAATATACACACCCTGACTCAACATATAAGCGTCCCCTGAGTCAGGGCGTGACAGTCACTGACAGTCACTCAATTAGCCATGCCAGCTAACACTTTTTTCATTGGTAAGTTAGTCTAGGCAGTGTTTTTTTTACTTGTTGTAATCATGGCCGAATACCGACCGGGGCATGCAGGGGGCCCCCATATTTTTTTTGTCACTCTTACTCAGATATCATTAACATGGCATAAGTCATTGCAAAATGTGTATAATTGCAGGAAATTAGCTTTAAAACTGCAACAATTTGTCTTTGCCCCATAGCAAAATGAGTAGAATTGCAAGAATTTTTTTATAAAATTGCAAACTTTTCTCTGCCCCATGGCAAAATGGGTAGAATTGCAGAAAATTTGCTTTAAAACTACAAAAATGTATCTCTGCCCAATGACAAAATGTAATTTTTCGCTCCGCCGTCAAAAGAGGGGGGGGGCACATCAACATGTTGCCCGCTTGGTGGGGGGCCCCCCAACCAAATCTCGCTTAGGGCTCCCAAAAGGCTAGGGCTCCCTGCAGTTACAAGTGCACTCTAATCATCTCAATTCTCATTTTGCCCCCCAAAAAGTGGCAGACTCGAGTGATCACTATCAAACACATCAGCAAGTGGCCACTCCATAAACGGCTTAGGGCCAAGTGTTTTCAACAACAAGTTTGAGGCGCTGCGTAATGGGCAAGTCTGTTTCACTGTCTGGAGGTTCTGGCTGCTATGATTGGATAGAGCATGTGTAGCTGATAGAGGACAATCACAGCTGCTTCTCTTGTGGTAGTGGGCACTGGGCAACTGGGCATGATCCCAACCCTTCAGTAAGTTGTGATGAACTCACAAAACTCTGTTTTGGACGAGACTGAATTTATGACCAAAATTATCCTAATTATACTTTGTAGTCAATTTTGACACTATAATTAATGTTTCGGACTTATATCGATGCCACATGCCGTTTTAAACAAGATACGTTTGTTCTAAGGAGCAGTTGACCTTTAAAGCCAATGTTATTGATACATTCTGAAGAATATTATTATATATTCTAGTCTAGTGTATTGGTAAAATATTTATGTGAGCAGTCTATTTGTTCTTATGAGTTTATTATATGATTACATTATTATACAAACGTTCAATTCAATAATAATAAGATGTCATTATTTGTATAGTCAAGAATGATGCAATCATGGTATTGGCTCATGTGATATTTTTTCCCGCGGAAAATTGCAGTTCTCCTGGCCAACATAAGTGCGCTGTCTGCCATCCGATACCTGCGGAGAAGAGGCAGGGAAGAGGCAACTGGAGAGAAGCCGTTACGTCAAGCACCCTCCATCTGATACAGGAACAGTCAGCATGCACAGCTACAGTATGTCATTCCTAACTTTACCACTTTCTCCCATGGAAACGGAATACATCTGGGGTGCTTTGACGGTCAGTCCTATCCGGGTTCCTTGGGATGTCCCCACCCTACCCTAACCTTAACCCTTACCATATCCCTTACATTTTTAAAAAAAAAATTTTTTTAATTTAACCTTTATTTAACCAGGTAAGCCAGTTGAGAACAAGTTCTCATTTACAACTGCGACCTGGCCAAGATAAAGCAAAGCAGTGCGATAAAAACAACACAGAGTTCCATATGGGGTAAAACAAAACATAAAGTCAAAAATACAACAGAAAATATATATACAGTGTGTGCAAATGTAGCAGGTTATGGAAGTAAGGCAATAAATAGGCCATAGTGCAAAATAATTACAATTTAGTATTAACACTGGAATGATAGATGTGCAAGAGATGATGTGCAAATAGAGATACTGGGGTGCAAATGAGCAAAATAAATAACAATATGGGATCAGGTAGTTGGGTGGGCTAATTTCAGATGGGCTGTGTACAGGTGCAGTGATCGGTAAGGTGCTCTGACAACTGATGCTTAAAGTTAGTGAGGGAGATAAGAGTCTCCAGCTTCAGAGATTTTTGCAGTTCGTTCCAGTCATTGGCAGCAGAGAACTGGAAGGAATGGCGGCCAAAGGAGGTGTTGGCTTTGGGGATGACCAGTGAGATATACCTGCTGGAGCGCATACTATGGGTGGGTGTTGCTATGGTGACCAATGAGCTAAGATAAGGCAGGGATTTGCCTAGCAGTGATTTATAGATGACCTGGAGCCAGTGGGTTTGGCGACGAATATGTAGTGAGGACCAGCCAACAAGAGCGTATAGGTCACAGTGGTGCGTAGTATATGGGGCTTTGGTGACAAAACGGATCTCACTGTGATAGACTACATCCAATTTGCTGAGTAGAGTGTTGGAGGCTATTTTGTAAATGACATCGCCGAAGTCAAGGATCGGTAAGATAGTCAGTTTTACGAGGGCATGTTTGGCAGCATGAGTGAAGGAGGCTTTGTTGCGAAATAGGAAGACGATTCTAGATTTAACTTTGGATTGGAGATGCTTAATGTGAGTCTGGAAGGAGAGTTTACAGTCTAACCAGACACCTAGGTATTTGTAATTGTCCACATACTCTAGGTCAGACCCGCCGAGAATAGTGATTCTAGTCGGGTGGGCGGGTGCCAGCAGCGTTCGATTGAAGACCATGCATTTAGTTTTACTAGTGTTTAAGAGCAGTTGGAGGCTACGGAAGGAGTGTTGTATGGCATTGAATCTCGTTTGGAGGTTTGTTAACACAGTGTCCAGTGAAGGGCCAGATGTATACAAAATGGTGTCGTCTGCGTAGAGGTGGATCTGAGAGTCACCAGCAGCAAGAGCGACATCATTGATATACACAGAGAAAAGAGTCGACCCGAGAATTGAACCCTGTGCCACCCCCATAGAGACTGCCATAGGTCCAGACAACAGGCCCTCCGATTTGACACATTGAACTCTATCTGAGAAGTAGTTGGTGAACCAGGCGATGCAGTCATTTGAGAAACCAAGTCTATTTAACCTAACCCTAACCCCTACCTTAACCATTTTAAATGTCAACTTCAATGGTGTAGGGACGTCCCAAGGCTCCCAGATAGCATGGACCATTCTTTGACTGCATGTGAAATCTGTGGTGTCCTCTTGTAAAAATATAGATATTTTAAAAAATAATAGAGGGATAAAAGCTATGTTTTGCTGCGCCTGAAATGTTTGCACTATGACTTATTAATATCAAGTTAGCAATAAAAAAAATTGTCCAATACACTGAAATGGTCAAGATAGTGTGTATGATAATATTCCTGTATGTATGCCATTTAAAGAGAATGTATTTGAGGTCAGTTAATGTAATTTGGATAAATATAACCCATAACAAGTGTTTAAATGACAAAATCCTTGGGCAAGAGATGTATGATATTTATGAGTGTACAAAAAGAGACAGATATATTTATATTTTATAATGAAGGTACCATAATGTAGAGAAGAGACATGAGATGCCAGTGGAAAGTGCACTAAGAGATACACACTATCAATGTGGATGAGGACATGAATATAGTGTGTAAGTTTTGGAATTGAATGACAAATAATGAATATAATAATATAGCTATGTTTGATTATTCAATCAACTTCAAAGTATTTTACTATGTGAAATCATCACATACCCCAGTACAAAACAAATGTGTATCTACTAAATGGGGCGACAGGTAGCCTAGCGGTTAGAGCATTGGGCCAGTAACCAGATTTATTTAGGGGACTACAAATATGTACCATTGTTTTTTGTTTATACATAATCAAGGCTGTTTTATATTGATAACCTCTATTAGATGACTTTCTGTCATTGTACGGTTTGTTCTGTTAACTGTGGATGTATTACGTTTCAAATATATGGCAATTCTGAGTTGACAGCTGTCTCCTATTTTCTGTCAGATTTTGTACAGTAGAGGGCGCAATATTACCATGTATAAACTACCTCCACAATGCTATCAATACAGCCTGATTATAAACCTATATAAAGCTGTTTTTTACTCTTATAAATTGCATCCCAAACACACATAATACATTTAACTCCTACTGGGTAATTTGCAACAGATAGGCACTCCATAGACGTGGGGTTCCAACACAATTGTAGAGATGTCTGTCTTTCACCAGCAGACGGCGATGTTGGGCCATGAGAGAGAACGAGAGGAGCGTCACAGATTGAAGATCCTGGGTGAAATAACACCAGTCTACAGGCATGTGCTCGTTTTACCAAAGTTAAATATTTTTTTCAAAATCAAGAACAGTTCACTGACTAGTAAAAAAGTATTTGTTTTGACTGAATAATACACATTTCTTCAAATGCCTGTACTGCATTCCTCTCAGTACGTTTGATATTAGATTTGAAGTTAATCTTACTTTACACTATCTGATTTATTAGCTTCTATTAGTTCAAAGGAAGTTGTCTGTTGTGCAGTAGTACTCTACTGTCAGGTCATCTCGGTTAACTCATAACTAAAGTCTAGGGTAATAGGTCAATACTATTTATGTTTACATGGTCTGTCCGCAAGAGATTAACTGTCAGGGAACACTTTATAATGACTTCCAACCATTATAAATGCATATTCATGTTAATACATGTAAAAAATGTTTTATAAATGATTATAAATGTTAAATGCTTTTTACTTGTAATGCTTATACATCTATATAAATATAGATGTACACTATTTATAAATAGTTTATTCATACTTATGCAGGAAATGTGTTATAAAGTTTTACCTATTTATATAATGTCTTAGTTTGTTTTAGGTCATAATTACTTACTACTAAACATCAATGAAAATAATCACAGTATAATAATGCAAATAATATCAATACTAGTTTATATTAAAAACTTTAGACAAGAATACAAAAATGTATGTATTTTTTATATTATAAATAAATACCTAAAAGTATGAGAAACAAGCCACAAAGACAAGCAACATTTTGCAGCAGTAGCACAACTCCATTCAAGCCATCAATGTTTGCCTTGTTATTTCAGAACATTAAATAAATAATACAGATGTGTTGCTATTATTAAGTTTGCTGGAATGCTTTTTACAGCTTACAACCAAAGACATGTTGTCTATGATGATAAAATATAATAATGATATAATATATTAATCAAAAAGTGAACAATATAAAAGCATGTAAAGAGGACGGCGTTATAGAAAATGCCCATTAAAAATACAACAAAAAAAACTCAACATTGAAATGAAGCCCAATGCAGTGCAAAGATACAGTAGTAAAAAAAAAAAAACATGTTCAAGCGCTCAGGGATTGAAACTATGTACATTTTGCACTTTTTTAATGCTACATTAACAGTGGTAGGCTCAGTTTCCCAAGTTTTTATACTGTTGTGTGGGAAAGTGTTTTTGCTGAATCATGTTTATCTGCATGTACATACAGTACACAGTATCGCAGCATTAATGCAAAGACGTACCTTTTATCTCATGGCCACTTAAAGCATTATTTTGACTATCTAACAAATACATTATTCACAAGCTTTGTGGATGATATGGCCTGTGTCTCAAATGGCACCCTATTCCCTATATAGTGAACTAGTTTTAAACAGAGCCCACTATATCGGGAATAGGGTGCCATTTGGGGCGCAACCATGATATGCAGTAGTGAGCTTCCACTCTGGGTCACTGAATGGCTCTCTGATAGGGATCTGTTGTTTGCACACGTCCAGACGAGTGCCGGCCCATTGTTTGGTTTTATAACCATCTCTGCTGGTGGGTTGCCATGGCACCCAGGCCTCTGGCCCCAACGTCTAATCCTGTCCAGTGTGGCGAAATTCCAGACATGGGTTGAATTATCTCGGTATTGCAGTCGTACTCCCAAATGTTGTCATAGTCCATTTCCTGGTCATCTGGCTCGGATGGTTCAAGGTATGAGTGGTGATCTGTGGGGGCGAGAGAGACACGATTCCCAGATTTTAGTTTTAGAAGAGTAGAAGAAGAAGGATACAAGACCTCGCCCAGATTGGGCAACCAGTTTTGGACCAGGTCCAATGTATAACTCTCTCATGGTGTGTGTGAACTGCTACATACAATGTTACTGTACTGTAAAACCAGTCCTGTTGCATGCCTATACAACAGCACCCACGTTTGTCCTCTGTTTTTTCCTCGGAATTGTGCAAAGACATACGACTTGAAATGATCACCTGGAATGTCCTGAGTTATAGCCAATTTTATAGTGGGTTTATATTTGGAGATACCGAGATAACCTCTTTAAATCCCGTCCTGTTTTTCTATGAGATAAAAGGACCCATAGATATGAGCTAGAGCGAGCGGTCCTAGCCCAGTTGTGTGTTGTCAATCATGGCTAGCAGTAACCCTGTCTGGAACAGTGTTCTCTTTCACTGGGCTTTCCCCCCCCATGAGACACCTGCACACATGGCATTTAAAGCTGGCCTAAGCTCCATTTCATTGGCACATCTGCGCATTTCCTGCACTTTTCTTTCAAACTGCATGTTGACAGTGACAGTCCAATATTCTAATGTTTTATATAGTATATTATACTATACTGCATGTGCAAATGTGCCCTGTTTCTCTTAGAAAGGGTAAAACTCCAGTCCCCCTATGAACAGACCTCTGTGTCATTGAGGTTTTTGAAGTAGATCGTTACCAACTAAGGCAGACTTTGCTTTTAGTGGGATTTTAGTGTGCGAATGACGACGTGACAATATAATAGACGGGTTTGAAATGGTGTGCATGACAGAAACGCTAAGTACGGAGTAAGTTAAAGGTAACCAACTTCTTTGCCCTTTCAGTTTTAAAAACATAACATTTTCTCTTTGTGTCACATCTTAAAGTGTATCATTTTCTGGTCCTAGCTGTACAAGGTGAGGAATGTTGTTGCAATGTGATGTGCGGTGTGTTAGTTTACATGAGCATGCTTGACATTCTTACCTGGTGAGTAACCATACAGCATCTGGGGGGTGTTCACAGCAGCCATCGATGGGAAGAGCTTCTGTCAAAAGATGAGAGGATAGAAAGTTGTTTCACATGTACAAGAACAACAAATAGTACTTTAGAGATTATTATTATAGAGTACAACAAATGTAGATTATTCAAAAGTATTCTAAATAAATATGATTGAGACATAATGCATTAACTATGGCTGGGATTCAAGTCTTACAGCGCTGTTGACAATGCGCCTTTTAAAGGCAATGCACTTGCATTTACGGAGACTGCATTCAAGGTAAAGGCTGCAGGTGTCGGCTCAAGCGCTACAAATAGGTTTAGGTTTAATTCTGGCCTATGTCCGTACCATACATACAATGTTAAATATTGCATTTACAAGTCTACACTGGACAGATGTAGGATCTTAATTTGAGCCAGTTTCCTACAGCAGGAAAATAATCCTGCAGCAACAGGACATGTGAATTATTATGTTGGTTATAATTAATGGACATCTTTTGTAGGTGTTGATACATTTTTTGTTAGTGCAAATCAAACTTTAGATACCTTTTTCAACCTTAAATACACTACACGTTTGCATTTCTCAGCAACAGAAGAGTGATGAAATGAAGATCCTACATCTGTAAAACATATTGACCCGTAACAATAAAGCATTGAGTGTCTGTTTCTCACCTCCTCTTGCACTGCTTTGGGTGCAGGCAGTAGCCTTAATCTGGGGACAGCCTCAGCTCTCTGGTCTGCCTCAGCTCTCTGGTCCGTTGGCCCCTGAGGGCCCTCCATCTCCAGACCCTGGCAGTGCACCAGACTCCTCTGGCAGCGCTTGCCCAGGGGAGGGATGCGCAGCTGGAAGGAGGAGGGTAGGAGATGAGGGTCCTGCTGCTTCTGTGGTGGTCCTCTCCAACACTGCTGCTGAGAATCAAAGGGAGAGAGCATTATAAAGCCAGCAGTTAGTAGTAGTAATTGGAATTGAAGTGCCTGTCCAATGACAGTCTTGCATATATAGCCAATGACGAGAAATGGACCTTAACCACACACGTGTCAATATGGTGTTTAAAATCTAGACACACCTAGACAGGAAACTTCCATTCAATCGATTAAATCATATTTCTCTAAAATACAAGCCATGTATATGGACAGGACGTTGCTAGTGACAAGGAGTTTCATCTCTCAGCAGTCCACTTCATTATGCATCAGAAATGATCAATTAGTCATCAACAGCATGCAGGCCTTAGCCTCTGTCCATTGCCTGCGTCACCCATTGGTCAAACGCTTCCCTGTATGCGTGCATTGCGTGTGCCTGCGTCTATATGCACATGTAGCTGATTGTGTGTACTTTTTTTTTTTTGTACAGTTCATGTGTGCATATGTAATATGTGTGTGTACAGTATGTGTGTGTGAGTTGGTGGGGAGTGCGGTTGTGGTGTAAACTGAGACATATAGATCCAGTATCGTGACGACTTACCGTTGGCTGCTGCCTGGGCCTGCTCTCCTCCTCCTGGGCGTAGGTGTCAGGGGTGCAGGGTTCGTCGTACAGGGGCGACAGGGGCTGCCAGGGGGCGCACATGTCTGAGTGGCGCTGGGGGGCAGACAGCGATGCGTACTTCGGGGACGTCTGAGGGGTGCTCCAGCTGTTTGACTAATCACACAGGGATTTCCAGGGGTTATTATTATTCTTCCGAGCCTCAGTCAGTCAGCTGTTCCTTGCAGCACTGTGCATGAATGGTCATTCTCTTTTCTCACTCTCTCACGCTCCGAGGCTAGCAGAAGCTAATCATTTAAGCCGCACTTAGCGCTGGGATTTGGAGTAGGGTTACCAAGCGGAGAGATGGCTCTAATCTCAGACATGAGCTACAGAGGGGCGAAAGGAAAAGGGGTGGGGGAGTGGGGGTGTAGTCTACTAGCGTCACAACTGTCTGTGTGTTACGGAAAGTTATTTCATGTCCAGCACTTATGATGTAATATCTCCCCGAAGACACATCATCTGAATTAAGCTAAAGAGGTACTACCATATACTTCTTTAACTCACAGACCTGTTGCTTTGTGGTACTAGTCTATTTTAGTTCTAGCACCCATGATGTACTGACTAGGTGGAAAATCTGTCCATGTGCCCTTGAGCAAGGAACTTAACTCTGATTGCTTCTGTAAGTTGCTCTGGATAAGAGTGTCTGCTAAATGACTAAAATGTAAAATGCAAAGCAAAGTCCCAGAGGGAATATTCCATAATCAAGTTAGCCGCCAGGCTGAAGTTAGTACCTTGACGAGGGGGGCTTTCTCCAGGCATTGCGGGGTGCTGGCATGGTCACGGTGGAGGCCTGAGTAGGGGGTGTTGTACACGGGGGACAGCACCACCGGCCCCTCTGGGGGGAGGTAGGAGCAGCGCTGTGACAAAGGTCGGAGGTCACGCTCGGGCCTGGCGGCGTGGGACGACACGCTGTTACTGCCGCTGCCCAGCCGAGCCGTCTCGGTGGAGGAGGGCCGAATGGAGTTGTACTGTAAGGACACACATAGACAGAGGGCAAAGGTCAAGTATGCTCGGTGACATCGCAACAAGCCAGGGTGATACGAATAAACACCGCTCCTACTACTCAATCCTCAAGACTTTCTCAATTGCGCAAACTTTTGAATCAAGGAGTAGGCTTAATACAGATCCGGGAAACCGGCCCAACGTGTGCTATTCAAAGAAACTCGCAATCTGGCAAACCTCATATGATGCTATTGTTCCTTAATACTTTTTAGCTACTTTGCAACTACTTAGCATGTTAGCGAATGTCTAGCAACCTAAAGGTTGTAAGTTCGAATCTCATCACGGACAACTTTAGCATTTTAGCAACATTTCAAGTACTTACTACGTTTTAGCTACTTTGCAACTTCTTAGCATGTTAGATAACCCTTCCCCTAACCATAACCTTAACCTAACTCCTAAACTTAACCCTAACCTTAACCCTAATCCTAATCCCTAGGCTAGCTAATGTTAGCCAGCTAGCTACCGTTAGCCACCTAGATACCTAGCTAGAATTCGTAACATATCATACATTTAGCAAATTCGTAACATATTGTATGTTTCGGAAATTCGTAACATATTTTATGTTTTGCGAATTCGTAACATATTTTATGTTATGCAAATTCTTAACATATAATATGAATTGTAATTCGTAACATATCATACGAAATGGGTGATGGACATCCACAAATTAATACATACCATACGAAACGTACCATTTCATACTAAATGGAATGTCTCAAATTTACATACAGAATAATAAGAAATTCTCTGAGACCAGGTTGTAGGTAAACGTGTATGTCGTTTTTGTAATGATGGTTACATTGAAACTGAAGCGCATGCCTTACTTTACTGTGGGTTATACAACGACATTAGGGATGATATTTTTCTTCAGCTATCCAGCCAAAATGAAAATGTTAACAGTCTGAAAATAATAAATTATGTGACATTTTATCAGGTAACAATAATGTATATGCCTGCGCCAAATCCTGCCACCTTATCCTCCAATGGAGACATTTCTTTATAAGTGCCTAATTGTCCTTTTATCGACTGTTTTTTGTTTTTGCATATATGTGTATAGATGATGCAATGTATTATAGATGACTCCTGTACCATGTTTTAGTGTCTCAACTCAATTTGAGTGGTCTGTCCACAATGTGGGAAAAAAAATAAAAAGACTATCATTGTGGAGTGACACTTAAATAAATGTTTGTAAACTAAACTCTACACACACACACACACACACACACACACACACCAAGAACCACATGTATTGTGGGCACAGAGCCTTTCCCAGTATAAGCTAATTGGATGACCGACCAGTCTGTAGGGTCATTCTCTCTTTAGGAAGTCAACTCAAGGTCTTGATAGTTCTGTTCAATCTGAAGCACTTTCCGTTATCAGGTAACCTGTTGATTGCTGAGGCAGCGTGTAAGTGCCCCTCATTTCTCATGGTTAAAGTTATCTTAATGGTGTTATTTCGGAGCAGGAAAACACGACGAATGATTTCGTTTGAGAGGATTAAGGACTTCAGCACTGGCTTGGGTTGCACAGTCTCTAGACCTTGGTTAATAATTCACATTTGGAATAGAAAAGTGCTCCTGATGCTCAGCTCAACTCCACCAAAACAAACAAGCGCTTTAATGATATGGAGTCCTGTGGATATCAGATACTATATATACCAGCTACGTAAAAATGACCACCACAGGGCAGAGCCTTACAACGCCCCACGTCTTAGTGTAAAGGTAAATAAATTACATTTGAGAGGGCTAGTTCACATGGAAGTAGTACACATTCAATTTCACCCTAGTTTCTTCGTAGAAAGCAGAACTGGCTCAAATACATTTGAAATACTTTGACGTGTACTTAATTTAATTTATTTTGGTATTTGAATGTATCTGACATATGTATTTGATCCAGGCCTGGTAGAAAGTATTCAAGTGCACACTTACACATAGTGGTTCTGTGTAACCTGGGGACAGAGGGTTGTCCTCAAGTCTAGGAGGGAACTGGAGGTGGTGGGACCCGGACCCAGATCCCCGTGACCTACTCCCAGCAGACTGCCCCAGCCTCAGAGACTCACTCCGGCTCTGGCTGTTCCCACTCCACCTATCAAACACTGGAGCCTAGTGGGAAAAATACAACACAACATGTTAAGAACTGACAAGGGAATGGACACAGTTAAGGCCCTTATTGTTCTAATCTAATGTCTCACCTCTCTCGGCGTGGGGGTGTAGATTATGTCATAAACGGGGGGCGGGGGGCTGAGCACAGGGACATCGAAGGCTTTGAAGTGCTGGATCCAGTCGCAGAACTCCCTCTTATCCAGACAGGACACCACGATAGGGTTTATCATCTTGCCTGTGAAAGCAGGGCCAAACAATGGGTAAGGTCACTCATTGAAATGTGCATGCTAGATTTACATTCAATTGGCGACAGATTTTCATGCACATTTTCCCACCAGTGATGTTTCCATCAAATTGATTTGTTGCCGACAAAAGGCTGTGCGTGATGACGTTGTGCATATAAAAATACCTTTTGTGGTTAAATTCCCATGTACGGAATAAAAACTACTAATTAAGTGGGTTTCCATCGAATTTTCAACTCTACTGATGGTTTTCTCATAAAATATGTTTCGATATAGCAAGTATGTCCACTCTGGTATTGGCATGTGCGCTCTAGTCAACGGCGTGACATTGGCTAGAGCGCACATATAGCCTACATGGTGACATTATTATGGACAAATGAGTGAGATTATTTTTATTTGTCAAACAGCAGACGATGATCATGTCACCAGAATAAGACCCTCGATATTGATTGGAAAGGAGCATCAAGCTCATCACCTTGCACTTTCACCACCCTGTTAAATTCATCTGAATTTATTTCATCTGTAGCCTAATAAACTGCATGCTTTCGTAGTGGGAGGACCACACAACATGTCAGTCGTAGTGGGAGGACCACACACTGTCATCGCGTGACTCCAAGTTTACTTCGATATGATGGTTATCATATCAATATTTGCGCATAAAAGCGTTTCTTGTTTTGTCGACATTTGGAAAGTTTCTATACGTCATAATAGACCTGTGTCAAATACATATGTCGTATTTGAACGGAGGCTTGGACAATAAGTGGGCGACAGTGGTCAATTTACCTTCGATCATGAAGGTGTTGGGCTTGACGTCCTGGCAGGGTGTGGTCACAGTGACCATGTTAAGTGGAAGTTTCCCCTGCAATCACACACACACACACACACACACACCGTTATACATACCATTACACACACTCCTGACACAAAGACAGATCAGAGGGAGAGGACTGCAAACATGACAAATAAGGTCCTCAAGCATAATCAAGGTGTCATAGGCAATGAGTCACTTACTGTATATGAGCTCTTGGGGTGAGACTCAGATCAGAGCAGTATATTTACTGTATAGTACATAATGTAAATAAGAGTTAGCCTGAATGCCAGTCTGTTTGTGCTATAATGCCAACTCCGTGCCACTAATTGGCATGACAAGGATTTGACTTGATAGCACAAACAGATCTGGGACCAGGCTATTTAAGTGTCTACATCTAAAGATTTATGATCTTAATTTGATCACTCTTTTGTTGCTGAGAATCTTTCTGCACAGCAGGGAATGTGAACTTGGTAGAGCATGCCACTTGTAACGCCAGGGTAGTGGGTTCGATCCCCGGGACCACCCATACGTAAAAATGTATGCGCACATGACTGTAAGTCGTTTGGATAAAAGCGTCTGCTAAATGGCATATTATATTATTATTATTATTATTATTATTATTATTATTATTTGAGGTTTTAAAAGGCTTCTAGTTTGTCATTTCCATTTAAAATGTCAGACTTGATTTGCCCTAATAAAAAATGTCAGCCCCTACAAAAATGCCCATTAATTATAATCCACATAATAATTGACATTTCCTGTTGCTGCAGGATTATTTTCTTGCTGTAGCAAACTGGCTCAAATTAAGATCCTACATCTGTATGGTTCAATGGGACGTTTTAAAGGTACCTTGTAGAAAAGGCCGTGGCTCTCTTCTGATAGGATGATCAGAGTGGCTGGGTACATCACCAGTAGTCTGTCACTCTGCTCCTGTAGTTGACACAATAGAAACAATCAACTCTCACTACATTCAATATTAGCTAATTAATTCAAATGTCTATGTCCTGTCAATGTATCTTTTGTTCAGTGTAAGAGTACCTAATTGAAGAGTGTCATGTGTGCTCACTTCAGATGCAATCAGTTACATAGTTCTACTGGGCTTTCTGTGTCAAATATAGAAGGCCCTTACATCGAAATATACTGAACAAAAATATAAACACAACATGCAACAATTTCAAAGATTTTACTGAGTTACAGTTCATATAAGGAAATCAGTCAATTTAAATAAATTCATTAGGCCCTAATCTATGGATTTCACATGACTGGGCAGGGGCGCAGCCATGGGTGGGCCTTGGAGGGCATAGGCCCACCCACTTGGCAGCCAGGCCCACCCACTGGGGAGCCAGGCCCAGCCAATCAGAATGAGTTTTTCCCCACAAAAGGGCTTTATTACAGACAAAAATACTCCTCTAATTGGAATGACTGGGAATCTGACAGACTTTGGTTTTTAATGTAAAGATAGAGCCTAGACGTATTATTATCTGTAGTAGAAAGCAATGGGTTGGAAGAAGCCTACATAATCAACCCCTAAAGTAAAATGCAACATCCATTTATGGCCAGCTATGTAAACTCTAACATTGATTTATCCTGCAATAGATGTCGTTCAATTGGTAATATTCTTTTTTTATCTTCTTTGAATGCCTCTTAAGAGGAATGTAATCCGATTAAGTTACTGAGTTTGACAGGTAACTAGTAACTAACAGATTACATTTAGAAAGTAACCTACCCAAACCTGTGTGTGTGTGTGTGTGTGTGTATGTGTGGCACGCACGCACTTGCATGCCCGTGAGAGTGTTTCTCTGCCCTGCTGAGGGCGTGTCTGGAAAGACAGCTGACATTCCAGCTGTGAGGTGAGTCAAGTTGCTGCGTGAGCTAAGCAACTGCCTTTCACACACCCAGTTTACAAGCCCTTCAATCTCCCATCCAAATAATTCAATCAGGCTACCGCCCTTTCCCACCAAACGTTAATTGGCAGAATCACCCACAGGCTACATGAGCAATGCTGTTTTATAGGATTAAGCCTAGTCAGCATCATGTATTTCTTTGGTTACTGTCCCGATCGGTTAGCAGAGTAACATCACGTCTTGTAGGAAAGTATGAGAGCTAGGGAGTAAGTACTGTGGTAACTGTAGTAGACTAGTGTTCTGCCCATACACTCCCTCAAGGAATAGAGTCCCAGCAGACAACAATGCTCACTCCTTACGTTGTGGTGAGGTCATGGTGAAGTTGCGAAAGAGTAAGTGTGTGTGTGTGTGAGAGTGAGAGTGAGAGTGAGAGTGAGAGTGAAAGTGAGAGAGAGAGAGAGAGAGAGAGAGAGAGAGTGTTAGTGGGCTCTGAGGTAAATGTTATTGATTGATAATGTTATGTTTACTCCTCATTCTCAGATCACCGCTATCTGTCTGACAACAGGTGGGAGTCATAACTGTCTAATGGACAATTCCATAAATTGTCTGGTTTCACAAAACAAGATAGCAACAGTCAAGACCATGAAAACACTCTCTCTTATTCATCTTTCTTAAATGTGTCTTCTCTGTTTATGCGCAATGCGGATTGTACATACAGGCTTCTTCGTTTTAGTGATATTTGAATATCAAAAAGTGTCTCTAAAATCAATAATCAGTCATGTTTATAATGATTCAGTGACAAGTTATAATTTTCAGTGACAGGTTATAATGTTTCACTGTCAGGTTATATTGTTTCACTGACCGGTTATAATGTGTCACGTCTCCTCCCGTTGCTCCACTCTGATTTGCCGGTCTACTGAGCCAACGGTCTAAGCGCACCACCTCGGCAATACCAGAATGGAAACCCAACGCACCCTAATCACCTCCAGTGCACATGCACCTCATCATCTCATCACCACCCCTATATAGCCCTGGACTGTTAAGTGTTGTGTTGTGTGTGATTGTTAGTGTCATGTCGTGTACTCGCTCTTTGTTGTTCTCTTGCTCAGTGTTAAGTAAACCTTTACATTGTTGATTCCTGCATCTGCGTCCTGCCTCTTCGTATCCTCAGTACTCGTCACATAATGTTTCACTGTCAGGTTATAGTGTTTCACTGACAGGTATATTATGTTTCACTGACAAGATATAATGTTTCAGTAACAGGTTACAATGCGTCATAGACACATCATAAACCACAGAAAGGTGAGCATAGGTGGGTGTTGTACCTGGCAGGGGAGGTGCTGCAGACGGACTTTGGTCACGAACGTGATGGGCCCCAGACTCTCACGCTGAGAACCCTCCCACTCATAGATGGGGTCTTTACTGATTGAGTTCCTCAGGTCCTCTCTCCACTCCGTGCTCTCCTTTACGTTCTGCTGGAAACAGGTAGACATGTTTACATTAGCGAGGCATGGAAATAATCTACTTCACCCCACCAGTTACGAGAAATAAACATTAAACACATACAGAACTTCTCCACAGTATGAGCTATTATTGCTATTATGATGGGGCTTTTCATTCTCTGAAAGTGACACAATCATACTTACATAATATTATACTTCCTGGGCGAGAAAACTGTATAACGAAACAACAATTGTTCCTACACTAGCTGTCACCATTGGAAGTGATATAGGAGCAATGTAGCATTAATGCTTTTTTTCTTTGCTAGTGTAGAGGCCCTTGTACTTACGAAAGTATTCACCCCCTTTGGCACCCCCCTATTTTGTTGCCTTACAACCTGGAATTAAAATTGATTTTTGGGGGGTTTGTATCATTTGATTTACACAACATGCCTACGACTTTGAAGATGCAAAATATTTTTTATTGTGAAACAAACAACAAATAAGACAAAAAAACAGAAAACTTGAGCGTGCATAACTATTCACAGCCCCCCAAAGTCAATACTTTGTAGAGCCACCTTTTGCAGCAATTACAGCTGCAAGTCTCTTGGGGTATGTCTCTATAAGCTTGGCACATCTAGCCACTGGGATTTCTGCCCATTCTTCAAGGCAAAATTGCTCCAGCTCCTTCAAGTTGGATGGGTTCCGCTGGTGTACAGCAATCTTTAAGTCATACCACAGATTCACAATTGGATTGATGTCTGGGCTTTGACTAGGCCATTCCAAGACATTTCAATGTTTCCCCTTAGTGTTGCTTTAGCAGTATGCTTAGGGTCATTGTCCTGCTGGAAGGTGAACCTCCGTCCCAGTCTCAAATCTCTGGAAGACTGAAACAGGTTTCCCTCTAGAATTTCCCTGTATTTAGCGACATCCATCATTCCTTCAATTCTGACCAGTTTCCCAGTTCCTGTCGATGAAAAACATCCCCACAGCATGATGCTGCCACCACCATGTTTCACTGTGGGGATGGTGTTCTCGGGGTGATGAGAGGTGTTGGGTTTGCGCCAGACATAGCGTTTTCCTTGATGGCCAAAAAGCAACATTTTTGTCTCCTCTGACCAGCGTACCTTCTTCCATATGTTTGTAGTGCCATAGTCTTTCAATTTTTTAATAATGGATTTAATGGTGCTCCGTGGGATGTTCAAAGTTTCAGATATTTTTTTATAACCCAACCCTGATCTGTACTTCTTCCACAACTTTGTCCCTGACCTGTTTGGAGAGCTCCTTGGTCTTCATGGTGCCGCTTGCTTGGTGATGCCCCTTGCTTAGTGGTGTTGCAGACTCTGGGGCTTTTCAGCACAGGTGTATATATACTGAGATCAGGTGACAGATCATGTGACACTTAGATTGCACACAGGTGGACTTTATTTAACTAATTATGTGACTTCTAAAGGTAATTGGTTGCACCAGATCTTATTTAGGGGCTTCATAGCAAAGGGGGTGAATAAATATGCACGCACCACTTTTCCGTTATTTATTTTTTATAATTTTTATAATTTTTTATTTTCTTCTTCATTTCACTTCACCAATTTGGACTACTTTGTGTATGTCCATTACAATTTAAAATTGTAATTAAAAATCTATTTAAATTACATGTTGTAATGCAACAAAATAGGAAAAACGCCAAGGGGAATGAATATTTTTGCAAGGCACTGTATATTTCATCCACTATCGAATGTGTGTGATCAGCCTTTTCCACACCTGTTGGTGTAGCCATACCCAGTGCAGATGTGAGTCTAGTGATGTGGTTGTGGTGCGGTCACAGTCATGACCGCTCCCTGGGAATGGATCATGCCCTCAGGAAGAGACAGCCATGACCTACATGACTCAACACATCCTGTTGATGGATTGCTGTTTTACCATCGGGATCATCCCAGAGTGTAGCTCCTACATTGGCCTCATTAACTGGTCTCCTTTCCTCCATTTCCATCATCTGCACTGCCATATAAATGAAACATAGTATTATTTCCTTACCTTAACCCTGGTGTAGGTCTCGATAGGTGCGATGGGGGAGCCTCCGTTGATCTCGATGTGTTCTTTGAGCAGGCCGAACCACATGTCCATCTCCTCCTGGTTGGAGCAGTAGACGATGATGGGGTTCAGGCTGACACCTGCAGGGGTCAAAGGTCATGCGGTCAGAGGGGAGAGGGCCACCAGCGCTTCCTGCTAAAGCCCTACCCTATCCATTTACAAATAGAAGGCTGTACATTATGCCAATGACAGCTTGTCGTCACTAGTAAATCAGACTTTTGTTTTTCCCACTATTTCACAAAAGTATTGTGAAAACACTGTTGATAGGTAGAGCTCTCCGTCATGTTAATTACACATTCTGTCAAACTTCCCCAGAAGATCCTCTGTAGCGTCAATCCAGGTTTAGTTAGGGGTGAAACCACTGATATCCCTTTCAAACCAAGACAAAAACACCAACTTCAGCATGCCGCCAACTTTTTACAGACAAAGCCTCACAGAAATGATTTTAATGCATTTATTCTCTCCATTTAAGTGTATGTAGCTCTGTCTATTCTCACAGAAATGCATTGGCATTTGGCCTGGATGAACGCACACTGCCATTTCATATTTTTTCTTGACTTTGACAGGTAAATATTTAAAGGCCCTTATATTTAGCTAATAAATGATGGGTTAATATGCATTTGTTCCTAACTTAGCCTACTAGCCATTTGTAGTGTATCTGTCTTCAACCAAAATAACTGGGTAGTTTGAAAGGAGGGAAAGGGAAAGGGGGATACCTAGTCAGTTGTACAACTGAATGCATTCAACTGAAATGTGTCTTCCGCATTTAACCCAACCCCTCTGAATCAGAGAGAGCGTACGATGGTGTGATCACATTGGCTGGTGATGATCCATTTACTGCAGTATTAGGCCTAATATTTAGCCAACGAACGATGGGTTAATATGAATGAGCTTCTTGAGCTACACACAGCCTCTCTTTTCCAGATGTGCCCATGCGGAATTATGTAAGTGTGTCTTATCTGTTTAATGAACAAAATAACAAACTATTGACTTCATTTGCATGGCACAGCCACCGTGGTGGAAAAAGTATCCATTTGTCATACTTGAGTAAAAGTAAAGATACCTTAATAGAAAATGACTCAAGTAAAAGTGAAAGTCACCCAGTAAAATACTACTTGAGTAAAAGTCTAAAAGTATTTGGTTTTAAATATACTTAAGTATCAAAAGTAAATGTAGTTTTTTTATATATATATACTTAAGTATCAAAAGTAAATTCCTTATATTAAGCAAACCAGATGGCACAATGTGGTAAAAATAGGACTGTTTTTACAGGAAACATACCGTAAATCATGTGTGAATTAGGTATGACTTACATGTAAACCATTACAGGAGAGAGCTTGCGACCTGGGCCGGTATTCATAAAGTGTCTCAGAGCAGGACTGCTGATCTAGGATCAGGTCCCCCATGTCCATGTCATCTTATCCATTGTGATCTAAAAGGCCAAACTGATCCTAAATCAGCCCTTCTACTCTGAGACACTTGATACATATGGGCCCTGCTCTCTTTGGCCTCATAACAGCTCACCTAGTGGGGAAGCAAACCCACCTCCCTCTGGACTGCCTTCCTTCCCAACAGGAATATAGCCTACAGGACCTGAGGTGAATAGAGCTGGAATCTCCCTTTATCAGCCCTACACATACCAGAGATAACAGGCGAGATAGCCTCTTTCATTCCAGCCCCACGCCTTTGTCATTGTCCGGAATGCTTGCCTTGCCAGCTGACTGCTTCTCTAATCTGCGGCCATGCTGCTCTCATTTGTAGATTTTCTTTCTATTTGTTCCAGCCTTCATTTTAGACCTTGAAGGAGGCATTTTCACATGGTTCAAGTGAGGACAGCAAAAGTTAAAACCCAACCAAGGCTTGTCGGGTTGTTAAATATTTCAGGAGCCGAGGCCTATTGTTCTGACCTGTCCACCTTAACTGGCTTATGGGAGTCTGGACTAGTGGTAGTGCTGTCGACTCTGGACTTCTGAGCCCATTCGCCCTAGAGGCAGGGGTGTCCGGCTCCCACTTTCTTCCCCCTCCGCTACTCTTTTCATGGCTGTGATGCCCTCTCATCTGTCTCATCCTCCTCTCATTTCAAATATATCTCTATCAGAATACAATTACAAAAATGTTATGAAAAAAGTTAGCACAACATGACACTAACTTAACCTTTGCATGAACTTTCCGGGATTTTCTACGGCAGTATTCGGGAGCGTACGTGTTCCTAGTATGTCATGCTAAGTCAACTCCTGGTGGGAGCTAACAGTGAAGCTGATTCATCAGTGAAGCAATTTTTATTCAGAGGTATCACTGCGCACAATCTCTCACTTGACTCAGAGTTTTGTCATGCTAACTCTACGTTTGTTTCCAGTCAAGTGTACTACAGCCTCCCTCTACGTAAATAAAGTCTCTCTCAGAACAGGGAAAACATCTTAAGTACAATGCTTTATTAAATCAGTTTGCGCTGGGAAATATCTATGAATGTGATGTATATTTTGGCCATGGGTAGCAAAGAAAACATTTGATAGAGGAGATCACTTCCATTTCAAAAACATATTGTGAATGATAAAGAAATACAAATAAAGAGAGTTCAAATTCTCCATGACTTGAGCTGACTTTACAAGTCAATGACTTTTACTCACAATGTGTGTCATCTTGAATGCCGAGAAATGACCAAGATCCCATCATCAAACACATTTAAATCCTAAATACATTCCAATTCTAGCCCGGTTGCCAGGTATGTCTGTGCTTTAGCAGACTCCTCTGATAATAATTGTCATGCCATAGAATGGACGACAGAGAAGCTGGCTAAGGCACAAATAGATCTGTCAACCATGCTTAAATTCATCTTACAACACATTTCTATCATCATTATCAAACATACAGTCAGGTTGATAATGAAGTCCAGGAACATTTAGAGATCAGGGCCCATATCCACAAAGCCTCTCAGAGTAGGAGTGCTGATCTAGGATCTGTCCATATAATCTTATTTATTCATATCTAAAAGGTAAAACTGATCATAGATCAGCACTCCTACTCTGAGACACTTTGTGGATATGAGCCCAGATCCTAAGGGACAAAACTAGCAGGCATTAAGTAGGATGCCCCTGGAATGTGCAATAGATTATATGTCTTGACAGGGCTCAGAGCGGGCACTGGCCTTTCTGCCTCGACAGCTGAGTGAGTTCAGGAGCACCTGTCGCACAACAAGAGGGGCCTTCAAGAGCGGCTTGGCCCCCTGACTGAGGGCTGAGAGGGGCGACTCTAGTTAGTCTTGGGGTTGTGTGGAGGTGAAAGAGGTCACAGCACTTTTGAGTCACCGGAATGTCGGAATATAGGAAACACCACCATTTGAAAATAGTGTGTGGTTGCAGTTTGGGATTGTGAACATGAATATGGGTTATGTATGTCTTTGCTGAGAAAGAAACAAAACTTGAGAACCATGCACTTAATTTTGAGTTTTTGACAGCAATACAAGAGTTACCTGACAGTCAAGTTATGCGTACAGATCCCAAGTAGCTTTGAGATTGGTTGAAAGAAGAGGTACATTTAGTCACTACTTATACAAATTCCTGAACTAGATTTTCTTTGTTTCAGTTGTTGAGAATAGAACCTCGCCTACCACACAACTGAGTTACAGAGCGGCTTGAAGTTAGCCTGTGAATCATAAACAACTATAAACACAAGACCATCCAATGCCAACTCAACACAGACTGATTGGCTATAGTCAATAGAAAACATGAAACAAGCGATTTCAACATCTCAGCGATCCATGCTGTCCTATTTATGAATGCCACTACTACCACAAGGAGTGATTGTTTTCCCCTTTCAAGTAAAAGGCCAACTAACCGTTGATCTGGAAGGCAAATTCCTGGAGTTGGCTGTGGTTACAGTTCTGCTGCAGGTTGCAGATGGTGAGCTCTTTCAGAGGAAGAGTCCCCTGCACGCACAAAACACAAGTAAAATCTTAGTAATTCAATCATTCCATTTAACCATACAGTTTCATTGTCGTGACCATAGAAATATACTTTTAAAAAAGGATGGGATTCACTGTTTTTCAAGCATGGATAATATCTCATAACTAAATTGTTGACAAATAGTATGTTTTTACATTAATTGAAAGCTGTTACTCCCCTATTATAGACTCTGAACATTTCATGACTCTAGGACTAAGAACATTTATTCAAAATAGCTTCTGAATTTTCTTGATTTTATGACCATCAATGGTCAAATGTGGTTGTTTTTCAGTTTCAACTTTGGAGATACAAGGTATTTCTATTTCAATTTCTACGTAGGCAAATATCACTATTAACTGGCGTAAAACTAAGGCCAGCCAGGTGCATGTATGATTGTCTGAGGCCTTACATTTGTCATCATAATGTCTAATATCCATTACTGCTCCAGTAAAAACATTTATTTTTATTTGGATTTAATGTAATGGACATACACAAAATAGTCCAAATTGGTGAAGTGAAATGAAAAAAATAACTTGTTTCATAAAAGTCAAAAAAATGTATAACGGAAAAATGGTGCGTGCATATGTATTCATCCCCTTTGTTATGAAGCCCCTAAATAAGATCTGGTGCAACCAATTACCTTTAGAAGTCACATAATTTGTTAAATAAAGTCCACCTGTGTGGACTCTAAGTGTCACATGATCTCAGTATACATTCACCTGTTCTGAAAGGCCCCAGAGTCTGCAACGCCACTAAGCAAGGGGCACCACCAAGCAAGCGGCACCATGAAGACCAAGGAGCTCTCCAAACAGGTCAGGGATGAAGTTGTGGAGAAGTGCAGATCAGGGTTGGGTTATAAAAAAATATCCAAAACTTTGAACATCTAACGGAGCACCATTAAATCCATTATAAAAAAATGGAAAGAATATGGCACCACAACAAACCTGCCAAGAGAGGGCCGCCCACCAAAACTCACGGACCAGGCAAGGAGGGCATTAATCAGAGAGGCAACAAAGAGACCAAAGATAACCCTGAAGGAGCTGCAAAGCTCAACAGTGGAGATTGGAGTATCTGTCCATAGGACCACTTTACGCCGTACACTCCACAGAGCTGGGCTTTACGGAAGAGTGGCCAGAAAAAAGCCATTCCTTAAAGAAAAAAATAAGCAAACACGTTTGGTGTTCGCCAAAGGGCATGTGGGAGACTCCCCAAACATATGGAAGAAGGTATGCTGGTCAGATGAGAACAAAATTGAGCTTTTTGGCCATCAAGGAAAACGCTATGTCTGGTGCAAACCCAACACCTCATCACCCCGAGAACACCATCCCAACAGTGAAACATGGTGGTGGCAGCATCATGCTGTGGGGATGTTATTCATCGACAGGGACTGGGAAACTGGTCAGAATTGAAGGATGCCGCTAAATACAGGGAAATTCTTGAGGGAAACCTGTTTCAGTCTTCCAGAGATTTGAGACTGGGAAGGAGGTTCACCTTCCAGCAGGACAATGACCCTAAGCATACTGCTAAAGTAACACTTGAGTGGTTTAAGGGGAAACATTGAAATGTCTTGGAATGGCCTAGTCAAAGCCCAGACCTCAGTCCAATTGAGAATCTGTGGTATGACTTAATGATTGCTGTACACCAGCGGAACCCATCCAACTTGAAGGTGCTGGAGCAGTTTTGCCTTGAAAAATGGGCAAAAATCCCAGTGGCTAGATGTTCCAAGCTCATAGAGACATACCCCTAGAGACTTGCAGCTGTAATTGCTGCAAAAGGTAGCTCTACAAAGTATTGACTTTGGGGGGGTGAATAGTTATGCACACTCAAGTTTTGTTTTTTGTCTTATTTCTTGTTTGTTTCACAAGAAAAAATATGTAGCATCTTCAAAGTGGTAGGCATGTTGTGTATATCAAATGATACAAACCCCCAAAAAATACATTTTAATTCCAGGTTGTAAGGCAACAAAATAGGAAAAATGCCAAGGGGGGTGAATACTTTCGCAAGCCACTGTAAATAACATAATAGCAGACTTTGAAGAACAGATAGCTGGAAAGCCTCACCTGGTAGGTGAGTCCAGTGGTGTTGTTGGAGACAAAATGAAGGTGTGTCTGGAAGAGGTCCAGGTAGCAGTCATGCACATCCTGAGGAGAGAGAGCAAGAGAGAGCGGGAGTGTGTGTGTGTGTGTGTGTGTGTCAGGAAGTGATATGCCTCTCTCTGTCTATTATGGTGGTCCTAAGGGGCAACATAGTCTTTGTTTCTACCCAGACCTCTGCACTCTTTTTCTCTGATGATCAAAAGGATTGGTGTTATGACGCAGTATTACCAAATAATGATTTGGAGATAGATTCATCATGATATTATGAACGTCCTAAATAGCACCCGATTCCCTATAAAGTGCTCTATTGGTCAAAATTAGTACACTAAAGGGAATATAGTGCCATTTGGGACGTTCATAATGTCATGATGAATCAATCTCCAAATCAGCTTCCTGTCAACAACATCCTGTGTTTCAAACGGGCTGGTCTTCTTCTTAATGGTCCTATAATGCTGTGTCAATGTTGAAATGACTGTGAGTAATTTTACACCAATAGGAAGTGTTGTGCTGGACTTTGATAATAAGGACTTGTTGTATTAGGAGGGCGTGTGGTATTATGAGGACTTGTGGTATTCTGAGGATTTATGGGATTTCTCAAAGAGCCACTTGTGATTTACAATCACTTCTTGCCATTTGACATCTTTTTCAACAAAAACAGTGAAGCAATAATTCCTCCTCGATTTACGCTCTGCGTTGTATTGAGTTACCAAACAATGTGTTCTTTCCCCTATGACACTCCATTCTAACACTCCATTCTTTCACTCCTTTTTTGTCTCTCTATCTCTCTCTCTTTGACAGCGTGATTGCATCTGTGACAGATAGCGATTCCCACGGTTGGGCCCGGTATTTTCCAGTATACCTGTTCTCAGATCAGCCCTGAGGTTGTCTCAGGGAGTTGTTTCCCAATTCCTTCAGTGCCCAGCATGTTCAAACGTGGCCTGCGGTCCCCTATGCTGAACCATCTTTTTATTTATCACCGTCGGTCACCACGTCAACGTTAGCTAAGTATTAGCTAAGCGTTTCACAAGGCCACAGAGCTAGGACTACATCCTGTCCCCTCCAACTGTTTGTTTGGTTTTCCTCCCGTCGGGGGTGACTAAAACACTGTTTCACTGTGGGGTTGAGACTTGTTTAAAGACCTCATTACCCACAATGACTGTGTGGAGGTATATGTTTATTGTGCTTTATCGTTGTTTCATCATTTAGAGGTGTTGCAGTGCCGTGAGGGGGTGTGTGCGTGTGTGTGTGTGCTCGCATCTCTCTGTATGTGTGTATGTGTGTGTGCGCGCATGTCTCTGTGTGTGTGCGTGTCTGTGTGTCTAGTTGTGTCTCACCTGGCAGTGGAGAAAGCGGAAGCGGACTTTAGAGCTGTGGACCATCCTGCCGTAGTTCTTGACATTGATGCTACTCTTCTTCCAACCACTGGCCGGGTCGTAAGGGAACGGTGGTTCCCACTTAATGTTCTCGATCTTCTGCAGATCCTTATGGGTCATCTCCTGCAAGCAGCCAATCACATGTTAGTGAACATTAGCCCGTTGTGCACAACAAACTAACTTAAATTGGGGCTGAAGAAGTTTGGTTGTTAATTCTTAGAAAAAAGGTTATTCAGTTGTCCCTGTAAGATAACCATTTTTTTGCTTCCAAAGGTACAGGGACAAAAGAGTATAGCCTATTTTTTCTAAGATTATACATACATGTATCAACGTAGTAATTGTGTTTGTCTGATATGGTTGAGATGAGACAATTTGTCATCAAATATTTTTGTATGTTCATTAAATATGTCCATGTCGTTTATCATGGTTTAGAGAGAGAGAATGGAAGCGGGAGAGAGAGAGTGGGAGAGGCGGATGGAGAAAGGGAGGAAGAGGGAGAGAGAGAGAGAGTTTTCCAACATTCCATACCTTCCTGGGAGTGACAGTGCAGAGAATATTGATGATGCTGTTGGACTTCTCCTGTCCTTCCTGGGGATACTTATTACGGAACAAGCGGCTGCTGCTCGGGAGGGAAGGGGGGAAGAGAAGCATGCATTACAACTCACTCTACCATGCAGGTATGTAGCCTAACTAGCCTATCTGTTTGCTGTACTACCTGCTGGCTTCTCAATGGCAGATGTAAACGATGAGTTCAAGATGAATGTGTTCCTTTCTGAAGAGTTTCCTTGTCTGGTTTTCCGTTTGAAAGTGTGTGGAGTGTAAAGTGACTGCCTGGTTTCGTGTTGTAAATCTGGACACATTTGACCAGGAACCCCCTTTGTCAGTTTCCTTCAATGTCACCCATTTAAATGAGCAGAACAATCAGAGCTTATGTCTCAGACAGGCAGAGCATGAATAGGGAAATAAAGGCTTCAATGTCCTCCTTTGTCAAGCCTGAACCCCATCTGTTATCATTAGTGTCACAGCTTTATAATGAAACCGTTCTGGGGCATTGATAACAGAGGGAGTCAACTTTTCTCCCTCGAGTTTCTCTCTCTATCTCCCTGTGGCCAATCTGAATTACATTAGCATAACAACAAAGACTTCGTCTGAGCTGGTGATAATCTAGCTTGGATCAGAATGTGATGACTGACAGTCGTGAAGAGGGCACGACAACACCTTTCCCCCCTCAGGAGACTGAAAGGATTTGGCATGGGTCCCCAGATCCTCAAAAAGTTATACAGCTGCACCATCGAGAGCATCCTGACTGGTTGCATCACCGCCTGGTATGGCAACTGCTCGGCATCTGACCGTAAGGCGCTACAGAGGGTAGTGCATACGGCCCAGTACATCACCGGGGCCAAGCTTCCTGCCATCCAGGACCTATATACTAGGTGGTGTCAGAGGAAAGCCCCAAAAATTGTCAAAGACTCCAGTCACCCAAGTCATAGACTGTTCTCTCTGCTACCGTACGGCAAGTGGTAACGGAGCGCCAAGTCTAGGTCCAAAAGGCTCCTTAGCCGCTTCTACCCCCAAGCCATAAGACTACTGAACAATTAATCAAATGGCCAGAACAATATATTGTGAATACTGTCTGGACTGTCTAACACGATCCAGAAATGTAAACTCAAATTGCTGATTGTAGACTAAGACTGATAGCTGTGAACCTAGCATTCTCTGTGTCACTAGATTGGCATTCACATTCTCTCGCTCTACAGGGAATAACTGAACAGAACCTGGCCCTTTCACTACACAGAGAGAGAGAGAGAGAGAGCAGGACACAGAGGAAGTGAGAACATGGAAGTTATTGTTCCAAGCGAACAACCAATTCACCTGTGTGTGTTTGTGTGTGTGTGTGTGTGTGTGCGCTCGCAAGTGTGCGCACGTTTTTAAAGAGGCAACGGTTAGGTGCACTTCGGACAACACTAAACCCTCTGTTTTTATTTGAACATAAACCTACTTGGCAGAACCCTATGGATTACCACAGATAGAGCCTGCCCCCAGAATGGTCAACCATGTGGTAAAGTAGCAATTCATAACAGTTGTACCATCATGGCCCTCGCTTTGCTAAGTGGCTATAAGTAAAAGCATTTCTCTGAGGATCATAAAGTTGATTAATTTCATGACTCTGATAGTACATTAAAGTAGCATAAGCTTTCAGCAATACTAATCAACTTCGAACCATCCAAAATAATTATTTAATGTTTAGGATATTGTTGGTTCATGTCCCGGCAGTGATTCTATTCTATTCTATCCTAACTATTCTATTCTATTCTATCCAAACCATTATATTATATTATATTATATTCTAATGCGGGTCAGATACTGATAAGAGAAGGGAACCAGATTATCTGACAAGAACTGAAATGACAGTTTAACGGGGAGATGCAAATAAGAGGAAAACGGTAACTGTATCACACAGTTGGAAATATACCACTGCTCATATGCTCTCATGTACCCCCTATGTGATCCTGACTCTGATCCCATAAACCTCACAACCTCCATTTAAACCTCACAGCTCAAACGCTGTGAAATACCAGGAATTCCCTCCATCTCGAATACCACACCACAACAGACGAGCCAGACATGTATGACATTTAGACTCTACCTGTTTTGTGAGGGATTGCCCTCCCTTACCTGTTCCTGCGTATGAAACTCTTGCTGGAGAACCTGAAGTTGTGTTGGGGAACACATGACATGCTGCTCCCCATGTTGCTCTACTGTTGTTGGGGCTGTCCGCTCCTCTATAGATGTCCTGTATTATATTCCCTCTGTGATGGTGACTGTGTAATCCAAAGCAGACGGTGAGGAGGCAGTGTGCTTACTGAAGTCAGGCAGATACTGAGGGAGAAAAGGGCAGGGTGAGGGTTGTATAGGCAGACCAGTGTGGGTATGTGTTAGTGAGAGTGTGTGTGCGCAGGGGGCGGGGCTTTGAGTTGTGTCAGGGCGTGTGTGTGTGTGTGTGTGTTTATACGTGTATGTATTTCACACCCTGCGTGGGATCCCTCTGTTAAAGCCATTCCACAATAAAGAAATGGGGGCAGAGCGAAGTGTGCCATTTCACTCCTTCCACCAGCCAAATGGGCCTCATTTCAATATTTGAAGGCTATCATGAAAAGACAGGTTACTCTGAATTGATGGTGGTTGATGGTGGTGTCAATCAGAGGGGAGAGGAGTGACCTTCCAGACTGGGGCATGTCTGAGCCTGTGGCCCAAAGGAGTATTTATTATTGCCCCACATACTTTGAGAACAACATTGTCATTCTGAAACTTAAGTAATGATAACGGATGTGATATTGAAACAGAGAGGTCAGTCTCTTGTGGTTGTTCGATATAAATCAACAGCTTACAGTGTGGGAAAAACTATATTTTTTCAGTAATATGAGATCACTTTAAACCCAAAATGAACTGAAATGTGTATATTACATTACATTTGATGAAAATAAGATATTGTCCATGCATAGCAGACCACTAGAATGTTATGTCATTGCTGTATTCTACCTATGTGTCTCTAAATTTGTGTACACTGTTTAACACTAGTTTTGAGTCATCCATCATTTTGACTTCAACATTCTAACAGTCTAATAAATACATTTCATATATGCCATCGTAAAAATAATCATTTGGTTGTGTTTATGAAGATCTTGGGTAACATTAGAATACAAATAAGAAAAATTAAGAACACATTTATGTTACTGTAGGCTATCTGTAAAAACAAGAAAACACTAAAAACACCACAATTCAAGAGTTAAATCCATCACAAAGAAATCCACATCGTTTTGGCAGGTTTTAAGAAACATTATGGAACTAAGAAAATGTATTCAAAATAACAAAATAGCATATTTTGGGTTTTATTGTGTTACTAGTCTTTGCTTAGTAACCTGGGATATACTGAATTCTGCCATGTGCGCATGGAACAGCTGTTATTCGTGTAAGAAGTGATATTTGGAAATAGAGCTAATCTCTTACATTTTGAGTGTTTTGTTTTGCAAAGTTAAGTGTTTTGGAAACCTCAGAATCTGCTTTTTCTGATACTATATAGACATCAAAATGTCTTACCTGCATGTTTCTGTCGGAGGATTTGAAATCCTCCATTTCCCTTTGTTTGTGTCCATGCATCTCTTTTTTTAGGCTACAATTTGACAATTGATAATATTGAAATTAAATCTACAGTTTCAGCAGGAGGGCATTCGAAATACACAAGCTCCTGTTGACCTAAAAGAAGACAGTAGACAGATAATATCCTGTTTGATTATGGATATTAAGTGTTATGACCAAGGATTATATAGTATAGTGTTATAGTAACACTGCTAATAGATATATATATATATATATTTTTTTTTAAGTCAGATGAATTCCTCTCTTGGTGTTTCATTGTCATCGGGAGCAGCAGATGAAAAATCAAACAAAAGAAATACACCATGTAGATAGGCCAATATGTCATATTAAAATACTTATTATAAACCGGGTGGTTCGAGCCCTGAATGCTGATTGGCTAAAAGCCGTGGTTTATCAAACCGTATAGCATGGGTATGACAAAACATTTATTTTTACTGTTCTAATTACGTTTGGTAACCAGTTTATAATAGCAATAAGGCACCTCAGGGTTTGTGGTATACTGTATGTCCAATATACCACGGCTAAGGGCTGTATCCAGGCACTCCGTTGGTACAGCCCTTAGCCGTGGTATATTGGCCATATACCACACCTCCTCGGGCCTTATTGCTTAATTATGACCTAGGCCTAGTTACTTTAGGACTAGGAGCACTGCAAGTGTTTTCACAATTTCTTAAAATCATCATTAGAGGTTATTACGAGCAGAGAGGGCACACCTAAAAAACTAAAATGTCCATTCAAAATGAAACCCAAACACAACATTTGTCTTAATAGACAGACAGTGCTTGTTTCTGGTCAAAGAATGAGTCACAAACTAATGATTGCCTGTGGCACATCCCTCATCCCAAGCCCTTAATCCCAGGTTATGTCTATGGCTGGACTTTAAACGTCCTGGCCACATTATATGAAATAAACACATTTCCAATAAACTGACAGATCATCCCAACCTGCTGAACCGGAATGTGTAAACCAATCCACCCAAGGCACTAAACCGTCATCATCCTAGTTAAACACACTGGGAGACGCTCCAGTCTTTAAGAGAGCAATCTAAAGCCTATATGAAAAGCCACATTTACCATGTGCAACTCTGTGTTGTTGTTGTTTTTATCGCACTGCTTTGCTTTATCTTGGCCAGGTCGCAGTTGTAAATGAGAACTTGTTCTCAACTGGCCTACCTGGTTAAATAAAGGTGATTATTATTATTCATTTTTTTAATAAAGTTTTGTGTTGCTCAAGCGGAGTAATTTAATCAAGCAGCCATGGTACACTCCATGGCCAAAAGTATGTGGACACCTGCTCTTCAAACATCTCATTCCAAAATCATTGGCATTAATATGCAGTTGGTCCTTCCTTTGCTGCTATAACAGCCTTCACTCTTTTGGGAAGGCTTTCCACTAGATGTTGGAACATTGTTGCAGGGACTTGCTTCCATTCAGCCACAAGAGCATTAGTGAGGTCGGGCACTGATGTTGGGCGATTAGGCCTGGCTCGCAGTCGGCATTCCAATTCATCCCAAAGGTGTTCGATGGGATTGAGGTCAGGGCTCTGTGCAGGCCAGTCAAGTTCTTCCATGCCGATCGCGACAAACCATTTCTGTATGGACCTCGCTTTGTGCATGGGGGAATTGTCATGCTGAAACAGGAAAGGGCCTTCCCCAAACTGTTGCCACAAAGTTAGGAGCACAGAATTGTCTAGAATGTCATTGTATGCTGAAGCATTAAGATTTCCCTTCACTGGAACTAAGGGACATAGCCCGAACCATGAAAAACAGCCCCAGACCATTATTTATCCTCCACCAAACTGTACAGTTGGCACTATGCATTGGGGCAGGAAGCGTTCTACTGGCATCTGCCAAAACCAGATGAATCCATCGGACTGCCAGATGGTGAAGCATTATTCATCACTCCAGAGAACACGTTTCCACTGCTCCAGAGTCCAATGGCGGTGAGCTTTACACCACTCCAGCCGACGTTTGGCATTGTGCATGGTGATCTTAGGCTTGTGTGTGGCAGTTCGGCCCTGGAAACCCATTTCATGAAGCTCCCAAAGAACAGTTATTGTGCTGACGTTGCTTCCAGAGGCAGTTTGGAACTCGGTAGTGAGTGTTGCAACCGAGGACAGACAACTTTTACGCGCTACGCTCTTCAGCACTCGGCGGTTCCGTTCTGTGAGCTTGTGTGGCCTACTACTTTGTGGCTGAGCCGTTGTTGCTCCTAGACGTTTCCACTTCACAACAACAGCACTTGACCGTGGCAGCTCTAGCAGGGTAGAAATTTGAGGAACTGACTTGTTGGAAAGGTGGTATCCTATGACGGTGCCACATTGAAAGTCACTGAGCTCTTTAGTAAGGCCATTCTACTTTCAATGTTTGTCTATGGAGATTACATGGCTGTGTGCTCAATTTTATACACCTGTCAGCAACATGTGTGGCTGAAATAGCCGAATCCACTAAATTGAAGGGGTGTCCACATACTTTTGTAAATATAGTGCATGTCACAGAGAAGTTGTAAAACTGAGAGAGTGGGGGTTGTAAAAGTGTTGCCAGACATTACAACCCCCAGAGTAGACAAGATAAAGGTGAGTTGGTGGCACAGGAGGCTGCTGAGGGGAGGACAGCTCATAATAATGGCTGGAACAGAGCGAATGGAATGACATCAAACCATGTGTTTGATGTATTTGATACTATTCTACTAATTCCGCTCCAGCCATTACCACGAGCCCATCCTCCCCAAATAAGATGCCACGAACCTGGAGGGTATATAGCATAATCAGAAGTGAATTATTGACTGTGTATTGTCTATGTGTGAAAGATGAGTCTATCATAGGGTGTCATGGAAAAATGTATTTGCTCGCTTGTCTGCAACTGCACACAAAATGGTGATTTACCTACACTCAAGGCTCCAGTCACACATGCCTATCCCTGAAGGAAGTAGCGGAAGCAGCTTCTTAGGAAAATAAACAGTTTGTAGTGATGGGAAGTTTTACTTACTCTTTTTACTGACTCAGATCATTTCGACTCATTCACTCAAAAGAACGAATCGTTCGACTCATTTTGTTCATTTGAGTCAGTAATGGCCAGAGTGTGCAGGACCCCATTCCGGCGAATGATGAACTTAAACTAGAATGAGTCATGATTCTACAAGCCTCTCGTTCACATCTCGTTCATCATAGGGGGCTTATTGGAGCTGTCATTTGTGACTGAGACATGTAAACGTGTGTTTTAAACAATGTACATTTGTTGATTGCTAGGCATACAAATAAGATCATTTATTGATACATTTGAAACAAGGTCTAGTTGTGGCCACAACCGTACTAGATTGTGAACGACTCTTGGCGGAATGCCTCGCTTAAATGACTACCGTGAGGGTGAAGAGCACAATGTTGTTCGCGAACTGCACTCCCCCCAAACGATTCGTTCTCGAGTTTGAATTTGTTGAGCAGAGGCTGTGTATGTTTTGGTTCTACAAAACTGAGTCCATCATAACATTGCACCATGCGATCAATTATCTTGAGTCAGTAAAAATAATAGTTTAAAAAAAGAACGAATCGTTCGCAAACTGCACATTACTAACAGTTTGGAAAAGTTTTCTCAGCCGTCATTCTGGTCGGTCTCTGTCGAGTTTCGATGGGATTTCTGTTGAAAAGGCCAAGGCCATTTCTGTAAATAATAGAACATTGCCTAGTGCGAGAAAGCAATCCATGACCTGATAAATT